TTCGAATATCCAGCTTTGAAAGTACAACTTCTGGTTCAAATAGTATTAGCCCAGTTCTGCGGAACCTAGCCTTATTATTGGATATAGATATTGATTCGAGATATACAGTTTTGAAAGTATGAAAGAACTCGGTTTTGGTAATATGGGTGATGTGCACTTTTATAAAGTTCTCGATCTACTAACTGTACAAATGCTTTAAAGGATTAAAACAACCAATATCAAATAATTGAATTAAATACAAAGAATGAGATAATAAACTAAATGGTATAATGTTGTGTTCCTTGTAGTATTCCTGAAATACTGCTGATTTATAACTTTCATGCTTATCAAGTATTAGTATTCGATATCTACCTACTTTCCTGCTTAAAGTATACTTATTGAAATACTTAACTTATTTAAGATCTATATAATTATCTGTCTATCTATTAATAATAGGTTTAATGACCCAATTATGTGATAAATCCCTTTTGGTATACTAATTTGAAAGATGGTATTCACCTTTAACTATTAGGAATAAAGGAATACTAAATCCCTCTCTATTGATGCAAACAATCGCTATAGTCTATTCTTGGTTGCCTGGTTGTATAGCTTTATTTTTTCCATATCAATCGGTTTTAGTAATTACTATATACGGTGATATTTGTCCCATCATAAAGCCCGTTTCATCGAAGTTGTATAAATCGCAGTCCTGAATACTATATTTTGTTTATATATTCGATATTAATCGAAATCAGTTTCCAATAAACTCTGGGTTTTTGCAGAGAGCTCTCTGGAAATCATAAATGCAATTAAAACGTGTCTTTAAGTCTAGATGTCGTTGTATGAATCGATTAGCCCAAAGCTTTCCAATCTTTTTGTTACCCTGCGATTTGAGGATACAATTCGTTATATCTTCCATATTATTTATTCGAGGACTAAACCCTCTTTTATCTATGTCCAATATATATTAAAAAAGCGATTTATCCATTAATTCCATTATTTTATAATATATTAATCGAAATCTAGCTTTCGGTATTCGACTGGCTATTCTGTAGGTAAGGATAGTATATAATATATTATAGATTTTAGCAGCTTTCTGTATATTCAGTTTTTTGAATGAAGCAATAGCTTAAACAGCTAGATTAATTTGCAACTCTTGTATATTGATTTGAAAGGTGTGACCAAAAGGGTATAAACAGGACTCCGATTGTGTACTTAGAATCTACAAGTGAAGAGCTATGTAGGATGCTAAAAGGAGGACTATATATACAGGTATTGGGAGCCATAAGGGCTAGGCCAAAAAGGGTGAAAGAGTCCTAGGCGTAAGATGCCTAGGTCTAGAGCTATAGAGCTAGGGCTCTAAGCTGTGAAAGGAAGGTCCAAAAGAGCCGTCATATCATACTACATATGTAGTATGAGCCAGTGGGCGGAAGAGAGCCATCTGTTCCGTCACAAAAGGTTGGATATGGATTTATCGCGTGTCAAAGTTAAGAGGTGGTAATTGAGGTAAAAGTGTTCCGGTTACTGATATGTTCCGCTTACTGATAAACCATGTTAGTTGCTAACAATTAGTAATAACTCTTCAATAGTCATCAGTAAATAGAAATTACTAGTAACCGCTAAATAGCTATTATCGATCGACAACGGACAAACTTGAGCTCGTCAATAGGGATGGAATTGGTCAAAACAGCTAATTTGTGTTCTCCCTTTTAGAAAGAGCCGAGTCAGGAAGAACTGTCTCAAAATTTGAGCGCTATTTTTAATTACTTCATCCACCAACAATATTTACAAGTTCTCTAGGCCCGTCCGATGCTCTGTAAAAATCTTGCTCAATACCTGCCTAGACACGAAAAAACTCGCAATAATTGCGCATATAGATATGGAAGTGCAAAGTATCCACACGCCTCTTAGGGAGTCTGCAAATGCTCCTTGTACTATGACCTGTAGCTCAGGATCCGGTATTGTACTGATGAGTCCGACACTGGCGGCTGCGGATGAGCCGGAGAAACTGTCTGCCAAATTCTCGAACAATCCATGATCAAGTAGGTTATTTCTCTGCGCATCCATTCCGTGGGAAAAAATGACGTGGCCCATGACTATTGCCATACTCGTCGAAAGATTCCCGATCAGACCAAGCGCACTCGTTGTAGATGCGGTCATATGCGGAGGTACGAGCGCTTGGAGTGCGACGAGAGGAGGTTGGAAGAGCAGGCCTGCCCCTGTAGCAGCTACGAGCTGAAATGCAACTATGGCGCTCAATGTGGACGCAACGTTTAGGTTGATATGTAGTCCATTCCCAAGCGCCAGGAGCGCAACGCCGATCCAGATGAGTTCCAGATATCGACCTGATTTATGGACAATGAGACCCGCACCCATCCCAACAACTGCTTGTGTGCAAGTGATTGGTATAATGCGAAGTCCTGATTCACGTGGCGATGCGTTTTTGACGGCTTGGAAGTATAGTGGGAGGTAAAACTCAGTGGAGAACACTGCCTATAGGTTTCATAATGTTAACAGAGATCTCAGTACTATACATGGGAGGGTTGAGAACAAGGGACTTACCCAATCATGCGCAAACCCAATGACAAAAGCCATAACATTAGACACCGTCCCAAATATATCCAGTGGCACCAGAGGAGATCTAGCCTTTTTTTCGCACATGACAAAAACGGGAGCGATAAAAACGCTAGCAACCAGAAGACAGATGACCAGAGGGGAGCCCCACGGGTCCAGATCGCCTCCGAAATTCAGCCCTAGGAGTCATGTAACCATGACTGCGAGCATAGAACAGATGCCATACCAATCCACAACCTGAAGTCCGGGAATAAGATTCGTCTCCGGGTTATGAACATACAAAAATACCCACAACAGAAAGAATACAACAAATGAGATAGAGAGATTGATCCAAAAGACCCAACGCCACGAAACATACTCTGCAAAGAAACCTCCTACAACAGGGCCAATACCACCGGCGATCGCCCACATAATCTGCAATAGACTCAAGTAGAATGTTCTAACCCGCATACTAAAGATGTCAGATATTGTTGCATAGACAACCTGAAGTAGAGCTCCCCCAGCAGCTCCTTGGAGCGAGCGGCCAATGATAAGCATCTGCATACTCTGCGAGAGCGCGCAGACGATGGAAAAGCAGAAGTATAATGCGACAGCAGTAAACAGAATGACTTTGCGGCCCCAGATGGCGGACAGCTTTGACCATATTGGGCCTGCGATAGCGTTTGCAAGAAAGTAGGCAGCGGTGATCCAGGCATGCCCAGAGGCAGACTTGAGATCATTGGTGTGGGAATTGTTGTTGCTACAGTTGTCTGGTTAATTGCCGCGAGAAATATGACACCCTGCTCAAATTGATTTCCATCTTCAACACTCAGTTTAGATACGTGCACATAGGCCAGCCATTATTGCGAACGTTCGAAAGCGGCCGCGAGTCGTCTTAAAGGCGGGCTCGACAGTTGTGACAGGCTCGTCGGATTTGGGACTATTCGTAACAGGTGAAAAACTTTCCACAGCAACATCAGCAAAGGGAACCACGTCCTGTACTATAATTAGAGTCTCGCTCTAAAAACTGAATAGTACTCGCAGGATGTACACGTGGTAGATTAGTCTTCATGATAGATGGTGTGTATCCAAGAGCGAAGTTTCGTCAAGAGGCAGGCAGAATGCGCTGTTGGAACGAGTATCATATCATCAGGGAACCAAAACTCGGGGAAGTCCCTAATACCTCAATTCACCTAGTTCTGTACGAATTTGAACATCAATACAGGGGTCCAATTGGATGAGAGCTATGAGAGAGCAGCCGGGTCTGTGTAAGGTCGGATTTGCACCGTTTAATTAGTGGATAATTATGGACGATGTCCCGATGAAGCCGTTCAGAGTCGTGAAGCCTGCAGGATCCGATGGAGTATGCTGTACATGGTATAATCCATAGTTGGCTTAGAGTCATAGTTGAAATATCCGAGCCGAGAAGGATCATGCCGTGATAATCTCGACGTCCTGAAGTGATTCTAGTCCGCAAAGTGATTTATACAAGGGGTTTCGACCGCGGAAATGATGCCTAAGAGGACTCATACCCAAGTAGTTGCTGGCTAATGATGGAGAGTCTCGCTGCAGCAGGGCTAACGAAGAGTTGTCCTTTCTCATCCTAATCGCACATAATTGCTGCAATGTCTAAGAGGTTGGTTTACCCCAAATCCATTGGATCTAACGTGTTTCTCTATCTTCCAGTTCTTGTGATTCATGTATTGTCACTTGTCGACCATCGCCATAGAGCATACGTGTATGCTAAAAGCTGCAACACCTCTTACCATGGATTTAATCCCTCGAGACCGCCATCACGGGCACCACAGTGAGCCCTATTCGTCCCATTTCGAGGTTCAAAGAGCCACTAAAACTGTCTGGTATTCTTGTATTCTTGACAAATACGAGTCTTTTGAGATCACTCCAGTTCTCGGGAACGAATATCTGAAGGTCAAGCTTGTTGATTGGATTAGACATCTGGATTTCGACGAGGTATCGAAGAATTTGGCAATCACCGGAGAGTTCATTATTATCTCTGATAGAGGTTCTTCATCTAATGAACATTATCCAAAGACAATCCCAGCGTGGTGTTGTTGCTTTCTGCGCCCAGGATAATGTCGACAACGAGCCCCTGAAGGTACTTGCCCTACCACTGGGTGAGCTTACAGGAAGGTCAAGTACTTCTTGACTTCACATCCCACCCCATCTTCAATTCCGAAAGGGATCATGCGGATTATGACAACGAGATCAATACCATCAGCCCTAAGGATCGCAAGGTAATGTATGCTTCCGAGGTACAAAGGAAGAAGAAACAGTCTCATAACAACTGGCATACCGATCTCGGTTTCGAGCCAGTACCGGGCTACTGCTCCGTCTTTATGCCTACTGAAGTGCCTGAAACTGAAGTTGTGTAGTCCCCACCCCTGGTTTGGTTGCTGGTATATGGATCATGACTAAGCTAGATTGAGTAATCTGAGAGCTTGGAGTTCCAATCCAGTGTGAAGAAATCGTGATGTGTTTTCTAATTTCAAAACCAAGATGACTTTCTTTCCCTTCCATTCTTTCGCTTAAGAAAGCGCTGGTGAATAAAGCGCCGGTGAACACGACAGTCAGTAATGTGCGAGAGCTATAACCATACCTCAGCAGAGGATCCAGTTCGAGACAAGGGTTATTGTTGTGTCGACGCTGAACGTTGGAGAATGTAAATCCCCCGGCCACCTACTAGCACTGGTAGTGCATCGTCGAAATTCACGTCTTGTGAGAGCAGCGGATCATAAGGGACTGACGTTAGGAGATGGAAGGCAGGGTGGAAGCGCCTGAGGAAGTTTAGCTTGTAAAAAGTGCGGGTTGAGCTCTTCAAGCACTTGGTACTTCACATGTAGCTAGTCAAGTCTTTTGCAGGACTGCAACATGTTGAAGTTCTTTAGGTTCAAGTACACCAATTCCTTAGGCTTATAAAGAGGTCCAGATATACTGTGCTTGTTAATTTGGAACACAGTTATCACTGGTTGCTCATGGTGTCTTCTAGTTAATTAGAGATGAGGTCGACTTCCAAAGTAAGGATATCTCGAATATCAGTCAAATTAAGAAACAATACGACAGTAACATCATCACAACAAAGTATTTTGACAGCTTCACCTACCAGTATATAGTTCAGCTGGGTCTGCAGGCGTGACAAAGATTTCTGCATTACCAAGCATACCTATTCATCTCATCAACATGACAACATCAATATCAATCTCCACCTCGCTGGCACACTCTCTAGGGCTACGTGAAATTCCTCCGTCACTTTGATATTCCGTTCAATGCATACAAGCGATCTGCGATCTGAGTCGAGAATCGAGATGCTGTGTTGGACGAGACTAAGCACTAGAAATTAAGAATTCTATGGTGAGTCAAATGTACGTTGGCAATGCTGTCGGTTGGTAAGGTACTACTGTAATGCTCCGGATTAAGGTTGAGTATGTCTTTAAAAGGTCTAGGTAGGAATGTTTATGTTTTGTGATAAGCTTGTTGGGGAGATTTTTGAATAATTCGAAGAGACTATACCTAGCTAGGTAGGTATAATTTAAGAATGCTTTTTGTCTTCATGAGGGGTTTTGGGAGGGCTCCATGTATGCGAGAAGAGTGGATATCATTTTACTAGTAGGGTAGGTCTGGGATTTGGTGGGATAATGGACCGTTTATTTTGAGATTACTGTATTTCTAAACATCATATTATAGTATAGTGAGTGTATTGATCATCATACTCGAAAATTTCAATTGTCGATAAAAGCATATACCTAGTATCCACTACACCCTTCACTCATGCTCTGCTCAAAACATCGATACACACTCATAAACGAACCTGGACATAAACAAACAATAAACTGATATATTCATATTCAAATAGATAAAGTCGGCAATACCTAGGTAGTCAGTGTTAAGCCCATCAAGGAAATCGTTCCATACCAATGCATTCCGTTCCATTCTCAAGCAAAAGCATCGCGAAAATTTTACCAATCCCATCCATGCCGTACCGTACCGTCATGTCCAAGTCTTATAACTTAGTCCCCTCCCTTTTCATCCTACCCACTCCATATACCATATTGACCACCCTGGACCTACCAGCCCACCAATTATATAAGTACAGAATACTCCCAAAATCCTTCTCCGCGTCCTAAATATCCGGACCCTATTGCAGTCCAGTTCTGCCCTACCAAAATGAAAAAGAGAAAACATCTTAAACAGTTTCATGACTTAAAGAACTTCCTGTCTCTGCTCTGGACCTGGGAAACTCACCAGGCACATGTAATTGACTAATACTCTGGACGCTCTGATGATTTTGCCCAGCAGCCAAAGTGGGACGCTCGATGTCTTTAGCGAGAGGATCGAGGAGTGTCTCTACTGACTTTGGTACAGCAACATTTGTGGTAGCCGCTAAAGTCGCGATCTCCTGGGCTTCGTCGAACCGAGGAGCTTTGCTGATATCGCCGAGGCTACGTCCGCTAGACATGTTCGTATCAGGAGCAGCAATGGCCATGGCTTCTAGATCTACTTGTTTTTGTGCTTTACCTTCGTAGGTATTGTCATCGGGTGCTGCAATCATAGTTGCTTCCCTATCTGCTTGCTCTCGAAGTTGGTCCGCGTCAGGTGCGGCTATAACGGTTGCTTCTACGGCTGATTGCTGACGTTGCTTCTGGAGCTCGTGGTTTTTGTATGCGGCTGTACCTGCGACGCCCAAAGCGGCGCCTCCTAGGCCTGCTGCACCAGCGGCAGGTAGCTCGTGCTGATAATTACGCGTAGTGTTCATATTCTGAATAGGTTCGTAAGTATAAGGATTTACACCATCTTCTTTAGCAGCTTGATTTATCATCTGAGCGTGTGTCGGCGACGCGGGATTGGGGTCCTCTCCATAATGACGGCCAACACCACTTGCGGGCAGAGCTGCAGCAGCGACTACTGCATCATCTGCTTCACCTCCAAAATTGGAACTTCCGCTAGAAGGCGAGAGAGGAGCCTGTAAGCCACGCGTCGCATTAACTTGTAGATCTGAGGGAAATCTCCCACCTGGTTCAGGACGCTTCTGTTCTTGTTTGAGTCCTTGAGTGCCTACAATGGCTGATGTATTTGCCGAGAATGGTTCTTCGTCCTCTTCGTCCATGACTCCGTCGCTGCTGATGGAACTAGCTCGCTGTGATGTACCACTAACGCTGCGGGCATGCTGACGCACAAACGCATTACGTTCTTGTGGAGACTTTTCCGTTAGAGACTGAATGTCTTCGTACCAAGCAAGTAAAGTATCGCGTGTTTCTGCTCTAAAGACCCAAGAGTGTCCACGATGTAATGTCCCGGTCTGACGACCTTTAAGTATGAACTTGTTGGAGGATCCTCCCTCATTTGAATGAGAGCCAAGTTTCTGCTCGGGTAGATAGAGAGACATAATGGGCGCTTGAAGTTTATCCGCTGAACGAAACTCGTGTAGATGGGTAGGAGAAAGAACGTACCAGCCGGGACTAGAGTCAGAATTAGTACAATGTATCCATTTATCACTTTTTATATGATCTCTTACGTGTAAGACTTAGTTGAAGTTAGCAGGAGGTTACATGTGATTGGGGTGAGAAGAAGTTACCTTCAGGAACTTAGACTTTCTCTCGAGGAGACCTTCTCTGATACATCCGGCAAGCTCGCTATCCTGACCAGGATATCTTATAATCTCTGGTGTTCTTACAGGAATTTTAGGATCAACAAAATGTTCATCATTTTCGACGAATGCAGTCCATTCATGATCTTTTGGCATGGCAATTGGACCCGTGCGTAGTTCGTCCACTGCGGTATAAGCACCGTCTGCCTCACGTTTCAAGATGCCTGCGAGCGCGTTATAAGACTTTTGAATCTCCCCCACTACGATGGCCTCAAGTTCCCGTCCGGAGGCTTCCAAGTTAAGATAAGCCTGGTAATATTAGTTCCCGAGCCATCGGGCAACCGGTATTTAAACATACCTGGTGCAGATAATTTTCTTCATCAATCTGCTTCTCGACCTGACGATCGACAGCAAGTCTAAGCAAGTATGGATCATGCTTGCCAGTCATTTGTGCAGGGTCAACATCCGATTGACCCAAGCCATCTTGTAATGCGGTCACAGCCTTTCGAGTAGCTTCCATCTCCCTGTCCACCGAATTTTTAAAATCGCCTGACAAACCTTTGATCTCCTTGATTTTCTGTTGCAAATCGCTGCGCAAGCCGGTCAACGCAAGAATGACGTCTTGCTCGATGTCTCTAGACTTGTTTGCCTCTGCAATTGCGGACTTGTGATAGTTGCGAAGGATCTGGAGAGCATCATCGATCCCACCAGTGGGTAGGAAAACAGAGGGCGCCGTCGTATTGTTGATAACATTCGAGACCTTCAAAAGGCTCTTTGACCTGTGCTCATATTGACTTTGGATTTCTTTGAAATAAACAATCAGATCTTTGAGGACCTTGCGCCAAGCTGTAGGTAGAAATAATTGTTAGCACATTGTGCGTATTGCCGCAAACATGAAGAGTTGTTGATAAATACCTTGAAATCTGTTTGCCAAAATCTCTGTAGGGTTCCCGCTTGTAGGGACGGGAGAATAGAAAGCACTGTGCAACTCATCGATATCACCTTGTGGATGAACGACCAAACTGCGAACGCTGCCAGCCCTCGAACTTCGTCTGCTGCTACTTCTCTTTAAAGAAGCTCTCTTTTTAAGAGTTCCACCTCTCGACGGAATCAAAGTATCACCTTGCGACATAACTGAATTTGATCGATGCATGTTACCGTCTACTATTGAACTTCCTCGTTGACTTGCGTCCCACTCCTCGTTGAATTTTCCGTGTGAGTTCTGGATCGCGGAAGGAGGTTGAAGGTCGTCTGTGCCGAAATCTGTTACTGCAGGGCCTCCGTTCGCGATTTGGGATTGTGGGCGAGCTCGTGGAGTACTTGCTGTACCGTATCCTCGATCAAAGTATGATTGTGATGGAGCAGGAACTGCAGAGTTGGTGCCGATGGTAGACATGACAACCAATAAGGTTGAGATGAGAGGTAACAAGTGTGGGAGAAAGGGAAGTCGGTCGTGGTTGCGTTGGTGGAGATAGTAGATTTGTTTGGTGTAGCTTCTCAAGCTAAATTGGTTTGTGTGCTAATAAGGGACAGGACCAGGACATTAGACACAGTAATCGATAAAAAAAAATGATATGATATTGAGAAATTATAAGTCTTTGGGTATTTTACCTAGGTATGTTTTTGATCCTTCAAATGAGAATACCTACTGTAAAGACTCTCTGGATGGTCTAAAATCGAGGGGGAGTATATCAAGCAGGTAGACAGACTCCTTCATGGGTTTAGCTTTGTGAGGCGAATAGAATAAAGAGGAAATATGACGCTTCCGCACAAACAATATTGTGGAGTAGAAAGAAGGGTTCAGTATGTAAATGAATCGAAAGGAAGGGGATTAAGAGGGATTAAGGGGATTGAAATTTATTGATAGTAGGTATGAATGATATGAATGATACTAGGTAGATGATATGAATGTTTCTATCAAAATCCTGTTATATTTCATTGTATGTGACAATTACTCCCCAAATGACGTGGATAATTTACTCCACTTTTAGAGTAAATCGAGTTAAACAGGGGGAGAGGGGGGGGAGAGGGGGGGGAGGAGGAGAGATGGGTTTTAAATGAATTTACTAATTCTTGTTCCTCATATTTGAGACATTTTACACTTTAAATATGAATTTGATTGGTTATGTGGGTTTTGATTGGTCAAGCTTAATCTTCTCAGGTATACTGTAATACCAATCAATATATCAATGGTCAATTTGATCGACTCGTAATACTCAACTTGAGATGGCTTCTATAAATCCTACTGGTATCCTTCTTAAGTCATTTCAGATCCTTCCCTAATCAAGGGTTTAGCATAAAGATCTACCCGATCTTACTTACTTATTCGGTTCCCCGCAAATGTTGAAAAGAGGTACCATGGTAAGACAAAATCTCAAATATCAGTTCTCCGTATACCCGAAGTTCCGCTAATTGTTCTTCTAGGATCAGAATCGGATATGGAATTCAAGAAAGAACCATAATTTGATTTTTCAATACATCGTCAGGTCTGTGTCACCCTTACAAGTACTCGAGTAAGTACCTCCTAGTATCCACCGGTTTATTTAATAAGCCGATCTCAACGGTTTGATTTCGGAATACACAACTTCAGTTCCATACCATGTTCATCCATCACCAACTTGGCTTGGTTGGTGAATCATAACGTTAACACTTGCCGTATGAAGAACACCTTGCGGATTCCATTTCTGCTTCAATGACTTCAACTCCTCCAACCTTTCTGCTCCACGATATCGTCGCTGAATAGGATCTGTGCGATTGCAATTTGTATAATCAACCCAATCCTCCTCAGCATGAGCATCTCTCATGGCTGTAATCGCTTTGTTCTCGAATTCTCGGACGATGTCATGGTTTTTGGCTTCATGGTATCAGGAGAAGCAGTTGCTAAGCACGAGAAAGAAGCTGGGTTAGCATTCGTGTGGTAAAGTAACACCTTTGGGGTTATTATCTTATAGCCATAAATGAACATGCTCGTTACTAAATCAAATGCCGAATTGGTGGTCGGTAATCTTGAGGTTCCAGTATGCCATTCAAGTGCATACCCACTGACACCAGCATCGGGGCAGGTAGCTAATAACTCTTCGTAAATTTCTATGACCTTCAAGAGAATTTGTGCTCTAAAGTCGGGGAAGCCCGCTAAGCTGAACCTTTTGAAATCCCCTTTTACACAGGCGAAATCCAAGTGGTCGCTCAAATTCGGGTAATGAGGTGTTGATGTCGATGACATGATTGGATTTACATCTGTGAGAGATTGGAATGCAAGAGGTGCTTCCGCTGGATTTCCGCTACACTCGGGACTGTTATAAAACGTCTGAGTAGGCGTGTGTACATGCATCTTTCTCGTTTGCACGTTTGCACAAGCAACCAGTCCACATGCTTAGGAGGGAAAGGAGAAGACTGGAGCCGGGTGAAGACTCACATGAAATGAGGTGCAACAGCGTTGGCTGGAATGTTGGTGTGGCGCCATTATCATCATGATTCCAGATGTGTTGTACTTCGTGGTGACCATCAAGCTTCACATTGCTAAACACACCTCCTCCCTCCACACGGTCTAAAGGATACAAAAGGTTCACAATCCAGTGTGTCCGATGGTGACCCAAAGATTGATAGGGAATAGGTCTTCATGGTCAGTTCTAGCACCACGTCAAACATTTGGCCAGCTCCTCTGATTGCCCACAGGAGTTCAGGCTCAACATCTGCATTTGAGTGTATAAGTGTACCATCGGCAATGATGATTTTTGCTGCTAATGTTTGATCGCATCCGAAACCAATGGTCCCAGAAAGAGTACATATACCACCCCCGAGACAGAAAGGGATAACACCGACCGTATTGCCGTTACCGGTTGCTAGGATCATCACATCAATAACGGAACTTAAGGCCACTTTCGGATGATGTACGAAACCACTATCCTACCTGTACACCGACCGGCTTCCGACAAGGCGGTAGATAATTCCTTCATTAGGACAGCCCCAGTGACGGTGACTGATTGAGTTTCTGTATCAATACTGATCGATTCGCAGAGTCCTAGGTCAATAACGAAGCCAGATGAACCAACGGTTGACCAAGGGCTGTGTCCACCACATACTTGCACAAAAGGAATTGAGCTACCATGGGCTGATTTGACCTGTAATGTGTTATCGAACAGAGGACCATTTTCAAGATTCTCGGAACTCGATAGGAAAGCTTACTATGGCAACAACATCAATTTCGTTGGTTTTGGCTTCAGGATTGCTCCTGGAGTCTGCACGTCAATATTAGACCATCCCTCCAACGTGGCTTTGAATCTGTCCTCTGAAGGATCCATCAGTACTTCTGCTCTCGGTGGAAATGTCTGGCTGAGGTTTGAACTAAAACCATTGAATGCCATAGCTATAATCAAAGCTTCTGGCTGTGAAGTAGGAAATCTTTAGAAAGATCACCGCTTCGATTTATCAGACGTTGCTTAAAACATAACTTCTGCTACTGTTGGAGGATACCGGTACGTACTGCAGTCATTGCTGAGAACGGTAATGATTATATTGATATTGGGGCAAATCGATCGGCCCCGCCTATCTACACAAGCACCAACAGTTGGAAAGTTGCCAACATTCTACCCCTCATCTGATCTAATTATTGCATCTCACCCACAATGAAGCATCTAGTGTCATTCGAGTCATCAGAACTGGTCCAACAGTTCTCCTTCTTTCCTCATTTGCCTTTAGGTTGTCAAGCGCGACTTCTGCTTCCATTGCACTTGCAATACAATTGATTGTGGGCCATACTCAAGTCCACTGCAAAAATATCGTGAGATGCGAGTTTGGTGGGAGATGGCAACATTTTTTGATGCGTGGACCGATTGATAACCATGCATTTAGTGCTGTACCATTTCCTATGCATGATGTAGGTATTCCCACTATTCCAGGCCAAGTGAAATGTACACAGGCAAGACCATATCAAAGGTCACATCCACAGAGAAATAAGGCTGCTAGAAGAGGCCTCCCCTTCCCGAGTACAGTCCGTTGGCTGTTGGTCAAATTCCTGTTGACCGTGATGACCTTAATACTCATGTTACATATTCTATCGACAACGTAGCATACGTCAAGTATGTGATGATATTGCAACCCCAGAGAAAACTCTATTTATTACCGGCAAGTATTTTTACCTACTTGATTTTTTTTTCAAATTGGGATATAATTCTCGTTAGGTGCTAGCCACAGATCAGGTTTTGCGACTGCGAAAGCCATTACTTCCTCTCTCTCATATCATGTCATTCGCACAGTTGACCCAAACTATACCTATCAATCCAACATCTCCGCTGTCCAACTCGACGTCACAAAACCAGAATCCATCGAATCGAAGCCGCCATAAGTCGCATTGCGAAGAATCATGGAAAACTCTATATTCTCATTAACAACGCTGGCGTCTCAATTAAACCTCCAAATCTTGTAGATAATTTAACGAAATGCATTTCTACCAATCTACTTGGCTCCGCTCATGTCACCGAAATTCTTCGTTTGTGCCTCTACTTGAGAAATCACTCACCCCTACCCTCATCTCATATGCATCAGTACCTTTGAGCTTAATTACAGTGCAATCAGACTCCACACCTCCATTTTCGAAATTCGGGCTTGTGGCTACCGCACTAGCAAAGCTGCTTTGAATATGCTATGCACTGCTGCGCAAGACCCGACGTGAACGAACTTCAAGAGTTTTGGTGTTTTTCTGGGATTTCTGGCTACGGAGTTGAGTGGTTTTCTGGATATGATGCGGCGGATGGGTGAAGTGTAGTAGATGATTTGAGTGAGTTGGAAAACTGGCAGTTTGAATATTATAAACTAAACCGACTGGCAATAAAATTCAACAAATTCAACTGCCAGTTAGAACTACCAGTGCAACTAATCCAACTACGAGTAGTTGAACCGGTAGGTTAGACTCCAAAATTTAACAAGCAGTTTGGATTACCAAAACTAAACTGACAGTTTAATCAGTGCACTAGTTCAACTGGTAAACTATCGACTACACTAGATGGGTGCAGCAGAGCTGGAAACGGGTGCGAGACTTGTTTTAGTGTGGTGAGGGGGAGAGGAATGAGCATAGAGAGAAAGTTGTTTTTGGTGGGAGAGTTAGGGGTGGTCGTTTCGGCTAGCTTTGGTTTCTTACGTGAAACGGATGATTGGAAATCTTGATTGACTTTCTTTTGTTGGTTATGGTATAGATGTCTGATGTTCTTTGACATGTGTGATGAGTATTTATGTAGATCAATACTTGCGTCTTCACCAACATTATACATATCAGTGATTACAGTAGGCAAAGTACAGATGGTTATAACACCCACTGTAGTATAGATTGGGATGACCAATGCATCAAAATGCAATACTAAACATTTAGAGAATTAGGGTGGGAAGGTAGATACGAATAGAGGAATAGGATAGTTATCGATACTATCTTTTTGGCTTGTGGATGGAGGATATATTATTGTAGGTGATTTAAGATCACATAAGAGTTAGCTACATATCAGATGGATTGTGGGAGAATCTCACTTAAGCCTACTGATTACTATTCGTTCTTTCTAGTGAAAATGGGTTGTACCGTTCTGTCAAGTCAGACAGATATATCGATTGCCTAGGGTGTAAAAGGCTGTAGGTCAATTCTTGATCTTTAAATCAACCAGGAACATTTGATCGAACCATACCATGTAATATACCTACTGAGTATTACTCTTCAGAGTGCTTTCTTTACTCGTGGCTTCTTAATTGTGCTTCCTTCACTATTTGTTGATACGCTCTATTGAATATATCAGGATGATGGCTTGGTACTTGTCATTTATTTCTATCTTTCCTGCTCTACCCGTACGATCCACCGCGTATAATGGCATCCAACAAATAGACGCCCACATCCGCCCGTTAGACATCGTGACTTCCGCAACTATGAAATTATATCCAGTCCCGAAAGCAGAAAAAAGTAGTACCTGGCGAGGTACTCTCATTTACGCGGATGATAGGTATAAAATCGTCAAGGCCATAAATGACTTGGACATCCTGCCTGAAATGGCGGCTCTCCTATACTACAGTACCACAGGAGCTCCTGTTATACCCCGATTGTTCTCTTTTCTCCTTACTATATCGGGACAGCAGACGCAGGAAAATCGGCCTTTTTTCCAAATTTTACGATATAGGCCCAGTAGACGAAGTCACAGCTTAGATACACATCATACAACGAAGCCAACGCAGGAAATGATATACTCTGCATCGAAGGAGGGCGAAATCCAACATACGGTACCGGCCTACCGGTATCTCAAATAATTCCCCCTCCGCTCCAACAATCCCACTGTACTGAAGACCCACCTCTCCACCCCACCATTTCCACCAATTCCATCATTCCCTCCACTTCCGCTTTCCCGCATTTCCCTCATTTCCCAGCCACCCACTCACCACGACTAGAACCCTAGCCCTAACAACACGGCCCGCTTAATCGCTAACGTTACAATGTTACCCCGACCCATCTAACCCCACACCACCCACACCACACCATCACAGCCTTTGATCCACACTTCTTTCTCATATTAATATTTTCCTTGATATATTTACTCTTCTACTGCATATATTTTCATCAAAATAACACAACAGGTCGCCTAGCTCAGCTGGTTAGAGCGTGGTGCTAATATCTTCTGCTCAGTTTGAATCAGATAGAATAAACGCCAAGGTCGCGGGTTCGATCCCCGTGGTGATCAATTCTTTTTTGTTTTGGATGCAGACCGAGGAACCCAGGAATAAAATGGTGAAATAGTTGATTGAGGAGGGGAGGAAGTTGTGTGTGCTCTTTGGGGGATTGGTATTGGTGTGGGATATATGAGTACCGGTATTATATGTAGCCTATTAAATGACATTTTTGGTTGGTCTTATATTGGATGTTTGATAGCTCGCTCTTGTAGGTAAGGTAGGAAGGATGCTTGGTTTAATCCTTCGTGTGTTTGTTTATCTACTTCTTCTCTATTGTAAAGTTTCAAGTAATTGTAATAATATCTAGATCAAGGATTTGAGTGGTGTATGTATGATATGACAAGCAAGTAATAACGAGAAAGATAGTGAGTGAAATGTACAAATATATACATTGGTCAAGATACTACTAAACTATACAAGAATCTCCTCCCAAAGCTCCCTCCACAAATATACAGTGCCGGTACTGCAACATCTCACCACCTCCTACATGCTCTCTCCACTCTCTCTCATACTTTTTCCAACTCCGCTTTAACACAGGCAACTTATATGCATCAAAAGTATAGGTAAAAGTATCAATGCTGATTTAATTATATTAACATTCCAGCGTTTCATTGCCAGTCCACATAGGTCTCAATGGCCATGCACAAATCTGTCCATTATCACCCTTATAATCTCTGTTCAAGACTGTTGCATTGAGAGTAACAGGTGCATTACCGTTCTCAACCCAATAAACCATAACTGTCAAATTTGTTTGAGGGAACGGAGTATTAGGTTCTAGAGGGTTAGTCGCACAATGCGCAGCTCCAGGAACCAAATAGAATTTATACCATTCACTGAGCGCTGCAGAAGATTCGTTAAAGCTCATACTGGGATATATGGTTTGACAAACGGACTCGTGGAAATGGACCAAAGAACCGGTAGGATGGAAGAGTCTTGTTCAGCGTAGAAATGGAGGATTTTACCACCGGTTGATTACATAGTTGTGAGATCCGAAATAGTGGTTTGGAGGGAATGATAGTAGAGCGTCATTCCCTCTGTCATCCATTGCACGAGGGTATCGTATGTGACGCCATCTAAGGTGTCGAGGTTGGTAGCATCGTTTAATTCGATAAAACGAGCGACCCATTCTCCGCCTGCGCCGGCGATGTCCTGACAATACTAAATATGAGACAAATTATAAAAGTTTGAACATACCAATCCCCATGCACCAGTAGCGTTATCGTAAGAAGTTTGCGCATCACTAAATTCAACTCCCAGCTAATAGGAGATATAAGCACGACGGCCTTGATAATCATGAAGACCATCTACAATGGTCTGAGCAACATCAACGGCCTCTGCAGAGACGGTACCATTTTGAGCAGGAGTCGACGAAGTCTCCGATCCGGACGCTCGACGTTTTCCAAAGCCGAGTCCAAGGCTAGTATATTTTTCCACAGCACAGTAGTATGGTGTTCCAATGATAGAGGGCATGTGAAATTCAAAACGCACAAATCGGAACGAGCGACGACACCGTCGGTTTTTTCGTCCACGGGATCACATGCTGCGATTGTCTTGGTGTCAATTTGTTCGAATTCGCAGGTGACTGGTCAGTAATCGAGAGTTTATTCGACGATGTTGGCGAAGAGATGGTTGGCTTGTTGTTGGCTATATAGCAAGGCAGGAGCACCGGCAATGACACCATCATAGAGCTCGTCAGCTCTTTGAATTTGAGACCATCCTTCTCTACCACCGTAAGTATAAAGCTTGATAGCGTTTCCAGTGCTATTTGAAACACCGTAAAATTGTTGAGTGAATGGTTATCCGATAGTGGCTATCTCTTTGATAGCTTCATAACCAAACATGTACACAGAGAGCCACTTGGTACTGTGATATCTTTTGCTTCATTACTATTAATACTCGAGTAGTATTAGCAAGAGCCAAAAAAACGTATTTGAGATTCTCTATCGAAAAGACTTTCCCTTTTATCTATAATTGCTTTTTTATTAGAGATAATAGATAGCAGAAGGACTGACTGGCATGATGACGCTTAGTCTATCTAGCGTGTACACTAACCTTCTTAGGCGTTACATGACTTTGATGGGTCTGCCCATTGTCTCCCCTTCCCCTCCTCCCATGAAAGAAAAAAAAAAAACCACCCCTTTCCCCCTCACAAAAAATTAATCAAAACGACATGTGCAGGATTTGAACCTACGAGGCCGAAACCATAAGATAACCGAATTAATTCATTCAAGTCTTACCCATTAACCACTCTGGCAACATGCCTTTATCTATTACGCATTGTTTGCTTCATTTGATTGAATTGGCTGGTGTGCTTTGGTATATATCGCTAGTATTTTTTAAAGTGGGGTAATAGGTTGGATGTGGGATTGGGATTAGCCGAGGTTTAAGTGTGATGGATGGGATGGGGGATTATTGGAAAGCTTCTTGATTTTTGGTAAGAAGTTTTAACTCCATAGAGATAGGTATTATTATAAATTCACAAGAAATCTGTGCAGCTCATCGGTATCTGATGTACAACTTAACTACCTAGTGAAGCCTCGAGCATTCACGAGATATGATTGATTTATCCTCGTTTGCTGAGCATTTGATGAAGGGGGTTATATAATTCAACTAGAATGTTGATATCGCTGGTAAAGAATGGTTGGTATTCATGCTATCTGTCTCGTTTATTTTGTTCTCTCCTATTTATTGTTCTCGAAGAGTGTTCCTTGCGGTTGGGTTTCGAAACGTCTTCTATTGCCCTATATTGTACAGTATTTGTTTTGTTTCACTTCCTACCTAGGTAGGTAGTTTTTACCTCCAGTTCCATTATTCGCTTTCTACCTCCGCTCGCATTCCTCCAAATGAAAAGTTCCAAACCTAATCCAAACCAAGACGATCAAACAATCCATGGTATCTTGACGCCGTGTACTCCTAAAAATCGCTGTTTCCGTCACCTTGTAGATTCATAATCTCACAATGCATCCCATCAATTATTCCTGCATTCCCCATTTTCGTATCCACAAAGTCATCCACATTACCTATTACTTCTATGCATTTACTTCCACCCCATACCCACCACTCCACCTCTTCTCCTTTCTTATCGCCCATCCTTTGATCGCAACCACTGAAATAATCCAAGCCATGAGGAATGTAATAAGACCCATCGAGACGGTAAAAATGAACATCGCATCTAGGCCGTTCAGTTCAATTGATTTGACCGTATCTTTGCTCTAAAATTTTGTTAGTTTTCATTCAATGTGACAAAATAACGAGTGGCATACACTAGCCATAAAAATAAAACCTCCAGCCATCAAACAGAAGGCAGTAATGATTTCGGTCGGGGGTCTGCCTGGGAATATCGAAATGGGTGGCGCAAGATAAAACACGACATAAGTAGCCGCACGCGCAAATGCGGCGCTCACAAGTAGAGTTCCCCATTGCTTATGGATCATGGTTGAGACCATTGAATGTTGGTGGTGTGAGCTCATCATCATTCCTAATAGCATGATGACTAACGCTGGTATAGGATTCATTGAAAATCTATAGGTTTTTGGTTCCTGCGCTTCTGTATGATAGGGGGACATTTGAGATGATGATTGTTGAGCCGTTGCATTCAAAAAGTTGCGAATTTTGTTTGATTCGATGAGCATACCGCACTATATAATTTAGAAGTGTTTAATCAACAATCGTCCGGAAAACTCACCAGTCCACCACCAATGAACATGAAGGTGATTGAAATGTGCTCGAGATCTTGTGCACTCCATGCATTCCCCCAAGCAGCTAGATGTTCCAGGAAAACATTTGTAGAGCCATAGAGAAAAATGAGGAAACTTTCCACAAATTCAGCAGTTGGAGAGAACCGCCGTTCATTACGAGGTTTGATATTCCAGGACCAGCCAATTTCGGCGAAACAGCCTGCCCATCTACCAAGAGTCAAGATTCCATACCAAAAAAAAACTCCACCCTTAATAAAGTGTGCAAGACCACTGTAAATCTCGGCACCTTTCTGCATTGAAGTTTAGCAATCGAACCTAGTTATCTTGGTAGTGCTGGCAAAACTTACGAATAAACCACCATATGTGACGAATCCAGACGTGAGAATAGCGAAGCCCAATAGAAGAATGATTCTATCTATAACATCATATACAAATCGAATAACGCGCAAAAGACGTACAGGAAGTGATCCTGGAAGTCGTTTCGATAAATATTGATCCACCCGGGTACCTTCCATCAAACCCACTTTTTCCGGCTCGTCCTTTTCTGATTCATGTAGCGTATTTTCATCATCCCCAGACAAAGATATCGATTGACTTTGTGAGGATCCAGTATTTGGTTCCGTACCTTGACCACTATCATCCGAAAATCTAGTGACAGATTGAGGTCCTTCATGCATACGGGTATGCTCTGCCATTGCTTCTCTTGAAACCGGAATATACCCAGATTTCTCCTGTATTTCCTCGCCTCTGCGCCCCGCGTAGGCACTGACCACTCCAATCACCACTTGCACAGTTACTATGCAAACCAAAAACCACCCCAATTTATGATGTACATTGTTCGGATAAAGGTCTGGGGTAGAGGCATTATAGATTATACTGCAGATAAGACCGCAGCCATTTAAAGCCAGGAATGTAAGTTGAGTAGGGAGACTTAATCGAGATCGAGAAATGGATAGCATCACACCTGGAGCATATTAGATTTTGGAGATATTTCACCATTATCGGAGCGACTCACATATTGGCAGAACGAATACCCATCCTATGGTCATCAGTATGATATGAGCTACCATGAGACCTCCATGTTCAGAATGTCGAAAATAACTCGAGGGTTCGGCCACCGCGGTACTATTCATGGCAGGTGAAATTGTAGCTGTAGCTGAAGCTATAGAACTTATTTGCATGCTCATATCCATATCCGGTTCGTCTTCGCCGTGTGCAGCTATCAGATGTGAGAGGCCAAGCAGTATAAAACTGCTGTATAACGTGAAGTTTCGCAAATATGAAGGCATCCGTATTTGATTTTGTATGTAGTTCAAGATGCGATGATGGTGACAAAGTGCCGAGGATCAAAAAGTACACAGTATATTGAACAGCAAAGGGAAATTACAAGTGCGGCGTTTAGTAATTATATATATATATATATATATATATGGTGATGAAAACAAACTCGTGGGACAAAAGAAAGAAGTATTCTAGAAGAATACTCGTACGCCAAGCAGAAAATTGGATGGGTAAAGAAACCAGCAAAACGGTAAAATATATCGGCTTGATGACGACAAATAAATAAGTTCATAATATGATGGCATGAATTAACAAGCAAAGGGAAGGAAAGAAAGGGTGCGAACGAGGTGCCGTTTAAGAATTCGTCAAATCCCCCATTATGACTTTACCGGCCGACTCTGCGTCCTATGATTGAAATGCAAAACTTACATATACAGAAGCGTCATCAAAATGGCAAGGGATTAATAATTGGATCGGCATTATGTTGGCGCAGATTCGAGGCCGTTTTTGGTGATTTTTGGTGGTTTTGGGTGTTTGTCTTACTCTTGTTGGGGGGAAAAGAAGATGGGGTACCTCGATTTGATAGATGACTGATAAATGACTAAGCCGATCAATATCTTGGAAGCCAACTACCGCAAACGGCGGCAGCTACTACATAATGTTCTCGAGTATATAATGAACGGCAGTACAGCCGGCAAGCATTACTGTAAACAGTAGGAATTCCTACTCAATTCCATCCATTTTTCTCTACTTTCCTCTTCCTTGTATCCCCTCAATCAACATCTTAAGAAACCTACTCCGTAAACCAAAGGTTAGTCAACCCATCGACTACCGATATACTTTTAAAACAGCAAGTCAGCAAGTCGATAAGGCTGCACCAAGGAGAAAAAAAGATACTCGCATCAAAAACTCTTTCAGACTGTTCACCAATGATATCAATACCCGACCCATCCTCAGCCCGCTCATAACTGCCATGTCTGCTCCATCCATGCACTTGCGTGCTACTGTCCATGCCACAATATCGAAGATCATCCAACCACCACATCTTCTTTCGTTAGCATTACTTCAGCAATCAAGCCATTTTCAACGACATTCCGATGATTCCGAAGAGTCATTCATTAATGCCTTCACCATTTCTCATTCGGTTTGGTAAATACTGTGTTTCTCGGAGGGAGTGGAAAATCTTGACATGACAAGGGCTTTTGAGTTACAACTTACAAATACAACTACTTGCATGCCTCTTCGCGCCAACCAAGTAAGATGACAAACCAAGACTCTGAGCTCTGTCAGATGAACAGAGTCACCGCCATATTCTGTTCATCTGACGGTGACGGCAACGCCATCAACAATCCCGTTCTACGCCGACCGAGACCGTCGCTAGTAAATCTTACTGTAGTACTGTAGAACCTAGCTACCCATACTCATACCCATACCGGTACTCATCATATCCATAACCATAACAAATCCATATCCCTACTCCTACCTGCCCATCTACATATTATAAAACAATACATACGCATACAATATATACATGAACTGTCTCTTGTCTCATTCATACCACCAGAGATATATCTATATCTACTAGGTATATCTCTATCTACATCTACATCTACATCTACATCTACTCACATCTAAATACAACAAAATCAACATCAACAAAAACAGAAAGACTACACTTATTATACACTATCACAATACGCAAACCCCATATAAACTACTTTACTTGCTGCACATTACATACATACATTCATACTTATCACGCCTATATAAAAACAACAAGCTACAGTATCTCCCTAATGTCTAAACATGACCGAGTACCTACATATCACATCATCAACATCCCCATCCCACTCAAGCCCACCAACAAATACCAGAACCGATACCCCAAAGTGAAATGAAATAATTACCTAGGTATGACAAATATTGTAATGTTGCAGGTTTATCTACCTATACTTATAGTCAAAAACCTCCCGTCCAAGAATATTCCATCTCATCCCATCTCGTCTCATCTCATCACACCTCCTATACAACCTCAACCTCAACCTAAACCCAAACCCATGTCCAAATCCAAATCCAAATCCAAACCCAAACCCAAACCCAACCACCCAGTCTTGAACAAGAAATCTCACCTCACCTCGCCTCGCCCCACCTCGCTCTTATCATTTGTCCTCGAATATATATACCTAGGTAGCTTATGATATAGCTCCCATGGGTGCATTTAACTACACACTCATTATTCCATTCATTCATTCATTCCATCGACCAATTCCGTATACCGGTAGCTTACCCCAACCTAGCCATCGCTTAGCCAGCTCAAATTGACTGCCCCTTTCTCTTTGCTTCTCTCTTAACCACCACAACAAATAAATAACAAAAGCACACCACACAACACCACATCACCACTATACATCTCTCCTTTCCTCTCCATATCCACATGGAAAAAAAAAGCAATAAAAACATTTATGTATTGGGTAGTGGGTATATGTGACATAAGATAAACAACCCTAACCATGAAACGAAGAGAACAATTTGAACACCCCCTCCTTTGAATCTCTATCATCCATAATCGCCATTCATCCATGCACCCCATATTCCCGCTCCATATCCCCATCAAGTAATGTCCACAAAATTAACGCCCGAAATGCAAACCTTGCAAAACACCTAATGCCACAACCCCGAATACTGTATGTCTGTAGAAAGAAGAAGCCTACCCCACCCACCAGTCCTTCCCTTCTCTCATATATTATGATATCTCTGGCTCTCATGCATATGATATGATATCCACCTATCCACTTCTGCAAACGCCCCATCCCCAAACATCATGAAGCTAAGCTAGACTTTGAATAACGTAAAAAAGCAGAAAAGCCTGTTCATTCAACACCTGACTCTTACTCGCCAACGTAACATTATGATCATTGAACTTAAACCATTGATTTCCTACTCGAGAATAGGAAACGTAATGACCTATTTGCACACCTCTTATTAGCAACCTCATCACCAACGTCTATCTCATATGAGAAAGGAATAGGAAAAGTAAGGAAAGTAGTGCTTGCTCACCCGTCTCCAAATTCCCAACATGAACCACCACACTCTGCAGATCATAAGTACATGACCTGGCCAACTCAAAGTTATTCTTCGTGTCTTGACCACGAGCGCGATTGGTGTAAGGAAGCATATGTAATTGAAGAGGGAATGTGACTGTAGTATCAATTTTAGAGGCGAGGCCTCTAGGATCTTGTTTGAAGCGCTATTTTCATATTAGCTCTGATATGAATGAGATCTAGGAAGGAAGATAGAGAAAATTACCTTAAGCTGAATACACAATACGTTGGGTAAGCTTTTGATACTGAGTTGTTTTTTTGCCTCTTGAGTATTGCATTGATGACATGTGTATTCACAACGTTCAGACCGAATGTACTCTTCGTCCAGACAACGCTGGAGGCTTATTGTCCCAGTAGCTGCTTTTAGCTTGCTCTTTTTCTGGATGACATCGAGACCTAAACTAAGATCTAGGAAGGACTCGACTGATGTGTTTACGTCTCCGCAATTTTGACAAGTGATGGTGCTCTGAAGTTTTCCATAGAAAGTCTGATGAACGATGCATTTGCAACCTTGATCCATTTTTGACCGCTTGGGGTTGGGACTGCTATCTTCTGGGTCGCTTGCTCGTGATCCTCCATTGATTTCGTGTAATTCCTCGGTAAGAAATTGGAAGAACTCATGTGCGTCTTGCTCTTTGTTGCTTGCTAATTCTTCGTACGCTTTTCTCTTCGAGAGCCAGAAGCTGGCAAGTATATTCGAAGCTGAGTACCCTGTTGTGATTTCTTGCGAGTAGAAGTCTTGAAACATGTCATCCATAGCGCAGCTCATACAATTCTTTTGTTCGCATTCGCTGGCTTGGTGACCATCTCCGAGGTAAAAATTTCTAAGTAGAGGATTATGAACGAAAGATTGGAGAATGACGTTCATATAACAGGTGGCTCCCATATTATAAATACCTCTAACACCACTTGCACGACAAGGAGCTGACATTGTATTTGTAGATATGAACCTTGGATCATCTTTGGTGGCGTCTGTAAAAAGTTCGTCATGTTTTCGTTTTCGGCCTAAAAAGAGAAGTAAAGTCAGCATGTTGCTTATAGAGAGAGATACACTAATGCGTCCGGTGAAGAGAAGTAGCAGATGATATAATGTAAACTGGAGCGGAGACATTTGAAGATATAATATGCAGGCTCCATCTGAGCAAGGCAACTGGTGCCGAAAGGTTCATATTCGAAAGCTTGTCACAACAAGGCTCGGAAAAGGCGTATTGCCCATGTATGACTTACTAGAGAAAGACCCAGTCCCAACCTTTCGTACTCTCAGTTCCTCCAGTGTAGGATCCCATACAAAGTCACTGCACATTTGGCAATACAGAGCACCCGTCCTCGATTCAACATCTAATTTCGAACCTCAATTAGCGAAGCCGGCAATGTCAGCATTACAACCCAACATACAAAATCTATGCGAAGTCTCCTGTCCATGCTTCATGTGATCTTGTGCAGTAGCTGTTCGTTCACATTGCAAACAGAGGTAATTTGGCGTAAGAGATGTGAGGGGCTGGCCTTTCGGCGTCTTAGAGGTTTGTGGCACAATTGGAGTATTATCTAAAACCACTCTTAAACAATTCTTATAGTATGTAATTGTATTCTTCATACGTTCCTCAAAGGCCGGATTCAAGAGTTGTTGAATATGCTCTATGATGCCATATTAGCAAATGATGGGAAGGCTGAGAATACGACACGAGTGGATTTGATGATATAACATACGACAGCCATATTTAGGAACTCCCGGTTGTGGTGATTTGATCTTTATAAATCTTGGGGAAGCTGGAGTAACTGGTCTAGATGTAGACATTTTCAAAATTTGCAGATAACCCGAAAATTGGGGACGAATCGTAGATTCGGTTGATGGGATTCTAATATCTTAATATATTGATGATGAAGCTCAAATTGCTGAGCCTTGTGGAAATTCGGGCGGGCGGTGAGAGATCGAGCGGCATTAAATTAAGGCTATTTTCGGGTGTTTGTCCCCTATTGAAACTTTGTGTACTCGAGTACAGTTTCACGAACAAACTACCTAGGTATACAAGTAATATCAAACGGGGTTTTTTTATAGGTCATTCAATATGATATGGTATATAGTCGATGTAGTAGTGGTACAGTATATAGGTATATACCAATATCACAAATAATCATACTGTGATATGTGATATAGGTAGTGTACGAGTAATATCAAACGGGGTCTTTTTCAGGTCATTCGATATGATATGGTCGATGCAGCAGTAGCATACCTACTACGGAGTAGGTACATAGTATATCTTCATCTTCCAATTTTCTTCATCGATATTCTTAGATTAGACTTACCATCAAGATGTCTATTGTGAAGTCACAACCTAAAACCATCAGAAGAATACCGGGAGAGGTCCAGATGCTATCTATATTCTCGTACTCTCGTCTGGTAACTCTGATTCAAGTATGTCGATTAGTCTTTGAACAATTCATTTGTTTATACTTAAAATTATCCTTCAGCCGATGAGACGAAAAGGAGAGCAGGCTTTGGTATGTCATGCTTATCAAACAGCGTATCGATGAACCGAGGCTTATCGGCATTGCATCTACTCCGGTCCCTAACATAGAGGAACATTCCTTCATCCACATTGATGCTATCTATCCAAAACTCCATCAAGAAAATGGCAACTCAACTAGTGCCTCTGTCAGAAGTCGAGCGATTGAGCCCTACTGTAATTCGGATTCTTGGTGGAAATCCAGGAAAGGTGAGAAGAAATTTGAATGGAGTCAAATTAAGCAATGTCAGCTGATTATCAAACAGTTTACATTGCAAGGTTCATACAACGATTTGTAGAGTATGAGGTAGATAGTTTACTTTGCTGACGAGATCGTAGGGACTAATACTTATCTCGTTGGCGAGGGAAGAAAAAGACTGTTGATTGATACAGGAGAGGGGAGGGAAAGCTGGATTCGGAATCTAAAGGATATTCTGAAAAAAGAGCAAGCCACGATTACTTCTTGTATCCTTACGCATTGGTGAGAGCTTGTTTGCTCCATGAGTCACAACTCAGAGTCACTGATGTGAAGATCTAGGCATCATGACCATGTGAACGGGATCGACCACTTATTAGAGTACTCGCCGAAAACCATCATCTATAAGAACCGACCAAGCGAGGAACAGACAGATATAAAGGATGGCCAAACATTTGTAACAGAAGGCGCAACTCTCCGTGCAGTTCACTCGCCCGGTCACACTCAGGACCACATGGCATTGATACTCGAAGAAGAGAATGCCATGTTCACTGGGGATAATGTATTGGGACATGGTACCGCCGTTTTCGAGGACTTGGTAACTTACCTGAACAGCCTTGAAAAGATGAAGGGTCTCTTTGGCGGTAAAGCGTATCCAGGGCACGGAGCGGTCATTGAAGATGGTCCTAGCAAAATTGGAGAGTATGTCAGGCACCGGAAAGAAAGAGAGTCACAAGTTATCCAAGTGCTGAAGTCTGCAAAGAGTAAACCTGGGGTCCCTATCAACAGTGATGAGGAAGCTGATGAGTGGACATCGATGGAGATTGTGAAGATCATATATAGAGACGTACCCGAGACTCTGCATGTGCCAGCAAATGGCGGCATTGTACAAATACTGCACAAGTTGCAAGCCGATGAGAAAGTTGTCAAGGAACAAGATAGATGGAAATTGAAGGCACGAGCCGCTCTTTAATATGTACCTGTATCTTTTATGATGGAATACAGAGATTCTTTAGTCACAAATATACTACTACTCTTCATCCAACTTCCTCCACGTCCAGTGCTCACACTCAAAATTGGCGAAGCAAAAGAACTCATTACTCAGTCCATTCGCGTGTATCGGGAGATAAGTCGTAGTTGCGATACCTTGTCTGATTGATATTAGCTAACGTGCCATCATCATGAGAAATGATACATACGGTCGATAAAGCTTATTCACAACATCTCCCACCCTCTCACCCGTGCATACGATGAGCTTCGACGGCGACGCAGAATCTGCTTGACCCCATGACATCAACGACTCGTCTTGACCCCATGATTTTGACAGCCATCGAACAGTTAAAGCCGCTATAAAAGTCAACTTCATGTCCCAAAAACTCTATACACAAACTGAGTGATTAGATTATCTACCTTTTGTTTGGCAGTCCTCGCTCAAAAAAGGCGGATCACAGATAACACGATCTGCAGAACCTTTCAAATGTGCTTTCATCTATTAGCAAAAGATCAAACCCGCGCCAGCCCAAGTGCTTGCGAAACTCACCTGGAAGCATCAATGGATTATTGAAGTCATAGAAGCTAAACTCAGAGAACACCGCAAATCTCTCATCAAATTCCAACAAATGAAGCTTCGGCCGCTTGTCCTCCGCCCACCCTGCCTTCCCAATGTTAACCTCACCATCCATCACCATCACACTCAAACATATAGCCGACTGAACTCACAATAATATTCTTCAACTGTATAAAAACACTCGGAGCCGATACAACCGTAATAACCGTTTCAGCAACGGCATCTCTTAGAAGTTCTTGCGCAAGGATTGTTGCCGTCTCATTGGAGTACTACATCACATGAGCAATCCATCCCAATCCCTCATAATCTTGGATTCATAATTCAAGTAATCATAGTCATAGTCGAACTGACCCAGAATTGCGATTCGTTCCAATTTTCAGCAAAAGCATCCATACTCAAAGGAACTCCATCAGCCTGATCCTCAGCCCGCTGCTTCAAATCTTCAAATTTCTGCTGATGCGCATCTCGGTCCGTGTAAAATTCTTTCAGTGCATCCAGCGCAGAGCCCGACAAAATGCTATTTTAATTCTCATTAGTACTGTCTAAAGCTGTTTTTCCCTCTTTTCGGTTGCAGTATAAGCTCACGGAATATCGTCTTCTTTTGTGTTCTCCATGGTTGATATCTGAAGTTGTTTTCAAGGAACGTGATGATAGAAAATTGCGATGGGGTTTGGAGGGGTAAAATGTGGGGCTAGAGAGACTTCTTCTCAAATTTAACTTCGAATAAATTGATAAAAAGTTCATTGATATGCAAATCTGCGTGGCTGTGTGGTCTAGGAAAGGGGGTTTCACAAAAGTCGTCTAAATTTCAAAGCAGAATATCATTCTTGATTGGCTGTTCAAAATCCGAATATCACATATATGTACAATTCGTATGCTATTATGAATACATCCCAGAACCAAAGCCAGTCTTCTACTGGTCATCAAGAACATGCAGATATTTCTTCTCTTCCCTCTTCTCGCGCTCTGTTGATGGTGGCAAATCGTAAAATGCCGCACTTCGATAACCCAACTATTTAGAGTGAGCATTACTGCTTTGAACTTTCAGGGAAAGAGTAGACATACCAGGTAATGAAAAGTAAGACTACTGAGCTCTGCTGGCTCGATTCCAAGATCCTTGAATGTCTTTGCGGAAGGATCGACCTTTTGGTTAATAAATTCTCGCTCGACCTCATCGGCGGAGAGGACAGGCCACCAAAGAGCTTTGTTCAAAACTTGGGCGAATGGCTTGAGGATGGACTTTCGTATGTTAATGTGTCGGCGATGACTGTTGATTTCTCTTTCAACCAAGGTTGAAATTTCTGCCGTTGAGTAGTTTTTGGGCCCATAAAGCTCATATGTTTGTGACGCAGTGCTGTCATCTTGAAGCATTTTCTCAAGTGCTTGGCCTACATCAGGTGCCTGAAAAGGGTTATCAACCGAAAACGTTGCAATTAAAAGGCTTAAAACATACATGAACTGGCCAGTAGCGCTCTTGCATATTATTAGATGTGATGACGTTGGTAAATCCGGCAAGCTTGTGGAGAAGGCGATCCTCGAAACCAAACAAAGGGGCAGGTCTCACAATTGTAGTCTCTGGAAATATACTGCGTACAACTGCCTCACCTCTTGCCTAAAAAGAGGGATGTCAACCATAAGAAACCATGTTTTAGAAGGGATAGACTATATACCTTCGTTCTGTAGAATTCAGAGGGTGAATTAAGGTCCGCATTGTGGGAAGAAACGTGAATGAATCTGTCCACATCGTATTTGGCAACAGCATCTGCGATTCGCTCCGCTCCTTCGACGTGTACATCCTCGAGATCGAAGTTCCTGATACTAATGAGTACTCATTCCCAGTTCAATCTTGTTTGGTGCATACTTGGTGGGATAATTGCGCCCAATAAGGTTGTAGACCACATCAGAGTGTCTAACACTTTCCTCCAGCGATTGTGTGTTTCTCAGATCGTATTCCTATTCGAGGTTAGTCAAACTAGCCCAAGCACCGCTCACAAGCCCTCTGTCATACCATAAATATAATTTTACCCAAATCACCGGTAACCTTTAAATGGCGTTTGGCCATTTCCTCCCGGAAAGGGATAATAACTGTGCATCCTTGCCTTGCTAAACCACCCCCGTCGTCAGTCCAAGCAGTTCTGCGCTATACAGAGATTTCGTACCAAGCCTGTTTACAATATAACGTCCGAGGAATCCAGTCGCACCGAAAACAGTTGCGGTATGCCCTATAGTATCAAATTAGGCATGTGTTGATTGCGATTTTGCGGACAAGTATACCTCCGAGAGATGATCTATAGAACGACGGATTAGTAAGAGTGCCCATGGGAATATAAGACCGAGGTGAAAAAGCTCACCTGCCACCCTGTGTACGAATAATGGGCTTTCCGGTCCTTGTAATAGTGACATCAGATAACTTCCGGCTCAAAGGTACATTTTCAATCCCTCTTTTCGATCGCACGGCAGTCCGCAGACTGTTTAAAGTCGATGGACTGCAGGATTTCTGCATTTTAGCGACTAGGGTATAAATCAATTGAATCGCAGACGCAAAATGCAGTTGGCAGGGTTCAATTTCACTTGATGATGTTGTAGGTTGAACCTCGCGGGAGTCCAGCCGCTGATCACACTAGTCTAAATAAGGTTAAGCTGGACCTTGCGCAGCTCTCTCGTTGCCTCGTCTTAAACATATCAAAACCCCAACCAAAACAGCTCCAATTTCAATCATTTACATACACAAGAAGATACCCAAACGATACTTACATACTACCATTTTTTGATTTTGAGCGGTGTAAAATTGTATACAAGAAGTCCGGAACCAAACCATTTCTGATACAACTCACCACTCATTCATCCATCATGAATGTCGACACAATCCCCGACTTTCTTGGAGAGCAACGCGATGCTGCGCCTGCAGACCTTCAACACCTTTTTCTATCTTTCGAAGACCTTTGGGAGAGGAAGTTGTGGCATCAACTGACAGATACCCTTGTTGAACTCTTCAATCATAAAGAAAGCGCTTCCCAACGATTACCATTCTATAAGATTTTCATTCTCACATTCGCCGATAAGATCAACCAGTTGAAGCTTGTCACTCTTGCTTTGAGCGCTGCTTCACAGTGTAAAGGTAATGGAAGATTACCAAAACACTGATGACGAGTGCTAATTCAGTATTAGATAGCCAAGAGCGCTTGTCTTTCTTAGAGGCGGTAGCAAAGAAAGTCGACAACCCAAATTCCCAAGATGCATACGTCTACGCAACAGTAGCTGTGGCCACCGTCAAATTAGAATTACAAGATCACGATGGGGCGAGAAAGGATTTGGATAAATCAGAGAAGGTCTTAGATAGATTCGACTCTGTGGAGACAATCGTACATGCTGCTTTCTACCGGGTGAACGCAGAGTACTATCAATCCAAACTGGAGTTCGCATCATATTACAGAAACGCCCTATTATACCTAGCCTGTATTGATCTCAATGATCTCACTCCCTCAGATCGCAAAAGCCGAGCCTACGATCTTAGTATCGCAGCCCTTGTATCCGACACTATCTACAACTTCGGTGAACTCCTCCTCCATCCTATCCTTGACACCCTCGTAAAAGACGACTCCTGGCTCCGGGATCTCCTTTTCGCTTTCAATCGTGGTGACCTCGCCGCCTACGACGTTCTCGCTGGCCACATTACCTCCAACCCCCTCCTCGCCCAACACCGCGATGGTCTCAAACAAAAAATCTATCTAGCCGCCCTTACCGAAGCCGTCTTCCGTCGCCCACCTCACGACCGTGCCATGACCTTCCGCACCATTTCCGAAGAAACAAAAGTCCGCCCTGACGAAATTGAGCATTTGATTATGAAAGCTTTGAGCTTAGGTTTATTGCGAGGAAGCATCGATCAAGTCGATGAAATTGCACGTATCAACTGGGTACAACCTAAGGTATTGGACATGGCACAGATTGACGGTATGCGTACACGACTACAGGAATGGGATACCAGTGTTAATTCGCTGGGTAATTGGATTGAGTCGAAGGGTCAGGATGTCTGGGCGGCATGAGCTGTATAATCATACCATGATTGAAAAGGCAAGAATGGCGTCTTGGGCTTCACATCGGGTTGTAAAATAGATATTCCCTCTCCTGTATGTGTACCCGTGGGTAGTTGCATTCACATTGAGAAAGAATAAAATGATATATGAGAAAAATACCCTGGCTACTTTGAATTTCTAAATTCGCCCATGACCATGCCCCCCCAACGAAAAGCGTGGCTTGTGGCGATACCATGGTTTCACTGTTCCTGAATAGAATTCAACATCCGAACCTCTCTCAAGCTTCAAAATATGAATAGATAATAAGTTTAGCGAATAGTCTTTTCATCTTCACCAAACTCACTGATTTCTACAGTCGAGCAAGAACATCATTACGTCACTTTCGGCTTTTTCTGCTCGCTGATAAAATGCCTTGCATGACTGACTGTATTCGCTAGATCTATAAAGCGACTAAGTAAGTAACCAGCCAAGCGTTCTAATTCTTCTCTACTTCTACCTCTACCTCTACCTTCCCCCCACTCCTTTCCACATTCTTCTTCTCTTCTTCTTCTTCTTCCTCCTCCCTAGGCCTCCCAAAAAGTAACATACCACCCACCACCCACGCCGGCCACCAAACACACCAAACCACGACCTGCGTCGTCATCCCCCCTACATCCCATCCAAAAGCTGCTTCTACCAATACATCGCCGACATCCAAACCCCAGTATTTCGCTCCCACAAGCAATACAGTTGAAGGCGCAAGAACTCCTAATGATATAAGGAGGATGGCGGCAAGTATAGGTTTATGTCCGAGTGGACGGATGTATGATAAGGGGGAGGATAGGATACCAATGATGATGGAGAGGGAGAAATTGAGGGTAGCGAGGGATGAGAGGTACATGCCGAGGAGGAGGAGAGAGAAGGATTGGATGAGGGAGAGTTGGTGGGGGGTGGGGGGTGTGCAGTAGGAGGAGTGGAGGAGGGTGGAGAGGGCTAGAGGGAGGAATGTGTTGAGGACTAGGAAGATGGCGAAGACTATGGGGAGATTCTGATGACATATATTAGCTCTGATCTTCTGGTTCGGGTTGTATTTGGGGAAGGGACGTACGGCTTTAGAAGTATGATTGAAGATATGAAGAGGAACCAGTCCCAGGAACTGGCATCCAGCTACAACAGCCAAAGGAAGAAAGAGTTTGCGTTCGCGCCCTTGGAGATCTTTTTGTGGGATGAGCGCTTTTGTGTCACCGGCTTCCACGAAAGCCAAGGGAGTTTTCTCCTTCTCTTCCCCATTGTTCGTTATTGACAAAGCTTTTGTCTTTGCAGGACTAGGCCAACCACTCTTCGCCCATAGGTAAATAGCCATAATAGTAAAATTTGTAGCCACCAGCATGGCACTTGGAAGATATGTACCAATACTCACGAAGCGATTAGCTTGCATCAGTAGATAGAAGAAGAAACTTTGATGGAGATGTTCCAACAGGTTATTCAAACTTCGAAAAGTACTCTCGATTACTCTTCCCATAGCCATCTCATCTTGCCAGCCTTCTCCAAATGGTTGGAGTGTGATCGCATCCACATGATATGGGATGAAACTACTATGAGGGCCGGAAGCATGACCTAAACCTTGATTAATCATACCGCGTAACATGGTTTTGAGTCGATCTTGGTAGCTATCGCTGTGCTCCCACATTTTCTGAAGTGAGACTCTAATGCCCATTTGGCCACTAGCAATGGAGACTACCGTGTTGAAGAGATCGAGGTTAGGAAGTTGGCCGTTGGCTCCATCGTAGACGATATGGATCGATTCAAAACGGTGATCAAAAGGATAATCGATTACAACAGCTCCTTGAAGGGCTCCGCTCTTGACCGGCAATGAATCGATGGCGGGGGACTGGTGTGTGTCGTGATAAGCATCGACCCAGGCCTGAGGGCCAGCTTTACTATCTGCCGTAATGAGGAATATTATATCCTTTGACCACAAAGACCACCGATTGAAATATCTCGCCAGAGTAAGAACCAAAGCAACACCACTTCGATTCAACTCCCCATCGATATTTCTCCAAGCCCCTACGAGTACAATTGCTTCGGTAGCATCACCTCGGGGTGCATGTAGGATAGCATATACATTCTCTCCTCTATAAACCTCACCCGCCGATTTGTACTCGTACTTTTGTCTCGCCACCTTGAGTCCGGTAGCCTTAAAAAATTCCTCGAGCTTATCATTCACCCTATATCACAGAGTCAGCTATATTCTCCGATCTCACAGTTCCCTTTTACAGCCTCGCACATACTCAACATTACTACTCTCCCCCAAGGCATCAACCTCCTTCTTGTACCCCCGAAAAACATTCTGATCGCTTCCCGCAAAATAAGTGTGGACCTGACCCGGCAGCAGTGCGTTTTCCGAAACATAAGTATTCCTCGAGTAGTCGTTTAAAGGCAGAAGTAGCAGCCATGCAACACCAATGGCTATGCAAAGAAAGGATAAATATGGCGGTAACTTGCGGACCGGCGCATGTCGTAAGACGGTTGCTGCTTTTTAATGTTAGTTTTATTGTCCTCCACACAGAAATTCAATAATTACACAGCAATGCCATGGTTCAGAAAAGTCCTTACGAAGTCCGTAGTGCTGGTTTTGACATGGGAGCTCGAAACTCAGGTGGGTTGTCAAGAAATCAGAAATCCACAGCCTTGCCAAAATGCCCCAGTAGTGAGGCGAGGTTTGGGGGACGCGAGATCAGGAGCCGACGCGACAGATTTCACTAGACAGTACGCTTTCTCGTCCCGAAGACTTGAGATTCCCGGACTTGTATATTCACGATAGCATGGAACAATTGAGATTATTGTCAATTCACTTGTTTAAGTTTAGACGAGTACTGTGAAAAATGACTGATTTTGGCCGCAAACTGGCGGACCTGAAGTAGCTTCATCTAGTTATATAATTGTCATTAAAAAAGCTTACGTTTATAAATTTACCATACTGCCTTTGGCTACCAGTGGTTCATCTCCCACAGAAGCCAAAGTCGAAACCGAAGCCGTATATCATATTCCATTTCCACCATTTTAACTCAAAGCATAACCACTCCCAGAACATCCAAACTCCGTATCATGCGTAGTCTTTTTACAAAAAGAGGGGGAATTATTGCTTGATAAGTACACATAATTTAAGGTCCCAATCGTGTTGTCTCGCTAGGAAATCCTAGCGCAATGTTTGTGTCCGACGGGATGATAGGATTATTGCTGGTAGGTAGTAAACCGTATCTTCCGTAGGTTTTTTGGTCAACGGAAACGTAGTGTGGTAATCTGCCCAAAAGGTTCATTTTGCCCTCAATCCATCTAAGAATCTTCTCTGGTGGAGCTAAGAATTTGAGGTAGCCAAGGCCCCCTATAAAAGTTAGCTAGCGGTCCGAACCATGGAATAGAAAGGGCACTAACATCCGTAGCCAAAAATAAGCCCGCAAATGTGACCAAGGAAGCTAGTATGGGGTACCAAGAAGGATATGAATAGCGTAAGGATGATTGGTGTTGTCCACGTTGGAATTTGGACTGTGCCCAGTACGAAATTGGGATTTGTTTTATATGTCTTCATCGCTTCCATTGCAAGTAGAGTGAATACCCAAATACTGAAGTCCTTGTTAGCAATACTTTCTGGGCAAAATAGAAATTATATTCCTCTCACCTAGCACCCATCACTGCTGTGTTCATGTGGAGGATCCCCCTTTCCACGAATGTATATATTAATGCAGGAATTGTCGACAGAGCTACAACAACCATTAGGTCCAGATCCTCCATGTCACTTCTCTCAAGAGAAACTTACGGCCCATAAACAATGCCAACGTAGTCAAAGTCCCATATTCCGCCTCGAACCTCTCCAATAGTGGAGTTAAAGCAATAGTATTCAATATCATATGTATGAACCCCATGTGTATCAACGGGAAGGTATTCGTGCGATACACTATAAAAATAACGCCACATTAGCTCCACGATCCATAAAAACAACTCGAGTATTGTATAGTATTGTCTTGTATTGAATTGAGATGGTAGATTTACTTGTCTGTAACCCAATCTCATTCGGGTACAAGCCACCCCATTTCTGCAAATCCCAAGCTGACTGTAAACTGACAAGCCAAAGTATGAATATGATTGCTATTATACATCTTGTGAACAGAGGTAAACGGAGGATGTAAGATCGTAGCCGGGCTGCCCCGAATTGGGGAAGAGTAAGTGGCATCTCGTGAAATCGTGGATGCTGCGGAATTGTGATTGCGTCGCCTTTTGGGAAGATGTGTGCCAGTTTCCGAATGTTCAACGACTTGAGTATCACTTTTTGAATTCGTTGGAAGGATCTTGCAGCATGTTTTGAGAATCGATGCGCGGAGTTGTTATGTTGATAGATCAAGCATCTCTCGAAATGGTGATTGGACTTTTCGCTACCGCGAGGCTGGGCTTCACGCCCTGGTCAGAATTTGATGTTCCTCGGGTTTGACCTCTATTTTTTTGACAACTGAGTTACTTGATGCATTTCAGATTTATTGAGAATTTATGATGTATTATCCCATACGATTCCAAGGAAGATTTATGTTGGAAGTCCAACACTGTGGCTTGTAATATTGCTTTCGGAATGGCCGAAACAAGGCTGAATGTTTTACTCTTCAACAAGCAGCTCTAATCTGGGTGAGCTTGCTTTAAGTTTTCTTTTTCTCAATGCTCAGAGCTCACCGGGAGCACTATTGCATGATCCCCGGTGAACCATGTGGTTTTCAACCCAAATTATTCGGGATACATGTCAGCCTCAAAATCACATGGTGTTATCCTCATTGTGAGTGCGACAATGACTTGAACTCAGCAAGATATCCTTATATGCATACTTTTCGATCCTTTTCATTCTCTCTAGTCACAAATCACTTTCACAACAAATGCATCATCCCAAACCAGTACTAGTAAGTTGCATAACAAGAGTGACGACGATCACATACAACATACATATGAAGGAATAGAGAGGAGAATCCACCAACCATATCGCCATTGCCTTTTGATACTTCTAAACAACCAATAATCAGTGCCTCTACTCCACCAGCGGAACCTCCAAAGAATTTTAGCACTTGAGCTCAAGAAATACATGTCTCAATCCTTGTTCTCTTACCCAATATTGACTTTACTCTCAAGACGTTTATAACGAGCAAGTGCTACGAATCCTCGGACTGGACCAGACTCGCATTGGAAATCCGTCTCATGATATGGGACTTAAAAGTCTATACAACGATACCCGATCGCATCATTGAAGTACACTGTCCACGCTACAGTACTCTCTCACTCCACCCCCTTCACCTTCACCTTCACCTTCAACATGTGAAGCGAATCTCATCAAGAAGCTCCCAGACTAGCCGGAGTCGCCTACTATCTCCTTTCAAATTTTTCCCACAGCCCCGGATTCATCTGGTATTTGTTTTACCCCCATTGTTGTACTCTATACATACTCCGTACACAGTGACAAAACCTACTGGATTCGAGACTGGGGTTCCGAGAGGATGTTAACTCAAGTGAAACAAATGTTTAAATCAGAAGGTACTGCAACGCTAGGAATCAGTAGATAGTTCGCCCAGAACTGATGCCAAACTAACTTAGAAAGGACGGGGGCTATTTGGGACTAGCGTTCAACTACTACGAATCTGCTTTGGAAAAATCTGTGTCCAAGTGGAACTTCATTAAAGTCAATGTACGATTCTATACAGTACATATTGATAAAGATATACATAGAAGTGAAGAATCTACAACTGGGTATAAAAATTAAATGGACGTAACTCCGATATCGTACATCCATCTCTTGTCTATCCCTACTTTACTCATTTGCCTCAACTCTCCTTAAAATGATTTGTCTCGCACTAGGATTATCCAGCATATCCAGATGCAACTTAGCCAGAACCCACTCACAGGTCTGTCTACCCGCGTAGATTTTCTCTCCCGCTTCAGATAAAGACAAGCCTTCCTCATCCGATACCTCGATTGGCAGATTGAGCAACGCAATACCCTGCGTAAGCCGTGCCATCATAAATGAAGAATTCTCTAATGGTAGATATGCACCAATGATACTTTGGATGCCTTTCAGATCCTGGGAGAAGCGAGCTGCGCCTAATGTTGTGAAATCTTGTTTCAGGAGGACTTCGTTAAAAAGTAAGTCTTCGAGAGCTGAGATCGCTTGGCGCCAAATTCGCATAAATGCGGGGTACGAAATGGTTTTCTCGAGATATGCCATTTTCTCTTTGATCACCTAGCGAAGATGTCAGTTGCAAACTCAATGTACGAGACTGGAGTAAACTTACCTGAAGAGGATGATCGAGCTCGGCCGAAATTGTCAAAGAAGACGTATAATATGCTACTGAACGTGAATAAAACGCTCGTAGGATAAAAGAAGGCATACTTACTAGATTGGGGGTCTTGTCCAATTGTAGTCCATTGTGCCTGAGTGAGATAAGGCCTAAATGCGACTGGAAATGTATATCTGATCGCTTGTTGTAGAAGGTCTCCCGCGTTGTCCCGTATTTTTTGGAAGCCATGGATGGTTGTATCGAAAATTGATCCCTCGCCTGTGCCTAGCTTGAGAGAAGTAGACAGCTTGAGCTGCGAACATGTAATAGGGCCAGCGATGGCGCTATCGGGATGTACACCTTGTGCTCTCTCATCCAATTTGGAATATAATTCCACGAAGAACTAGCCACATGTTAGTATTTGCCATCACAGTACTTTATTGCATCACGGAGATGCTAACCTCTTCATTGCCAAAAGATTCCAGTGTCGAGACAATATGATCTGCACTACCAAAAACTTTGCAAAGACTGATAAGCCCTGCCATTCCTTCGACAGACTGTTGCTGTTCTTTGGTATAACCTTTCAAAGTACGGCCAACCGTTGAGGTTAAAGATATGTAGGCTTCCAGAGAATCGGCTAGCCGAATTTGATATCTATGAAGAACACTTGTTTGAGTATTAAGGAAGAATCGAACTCTATGTGAGACCCTTCGTAGATCTCTATATTGTGTTGTGATGGTCTTCAAGAGATCAGTAATCTTTGTAGCCCCGAAGGTAGTTTTGGTCTTCTTGAATTCATTGCTGTCGTAATCAATAAGTCCATTATCTTGCGATTGTATTATCTCTTCGTATCTCTGGAGGGCGAATCTCTCCTCAGCGTCTAACCAGGGATCAAACCAGTTGTCTAGGACATGCCAAGTCACGCCTACCCAACCAACCTCAATGTTACCACTGTCATACTTGTATTTGTTTCTGACACTTTCATCCCAAATCATTAATTGGCCTATGAATTTACTCAAAAGCGCGGAGTCGTGCTTGATATCCACAAGAACAATATCGGTTTTTTCTTTGACTAGTGGCAAGAGTGCTGTGATGAAGGCGGATACAGGATCTACGTAAAGGGAGTTCACAGCCAGAGGACTACCCAAAAAGTGTGCAGCCAGAACAGGTCCAGCATTATCTCGGAGATAGGACTCATGCGCATCTATCACATCGAGGATCCAGTTCAAGTAGTATTCCCCGAGCTTTTTTCGTTAGAGTGTGTTCGTGAACGAGAAATAGAAACTTACAGCGTTACTAGCACTGGTAGGCGTGGTTCCCATAAAATGATAACGAAATTTCAATCCAATATCCTTGACTAGAACAGCGAAAGGTAGAAGTATCAAAGGTTCCCGAGCTTCTCTAATTTCTGGGGCTTGTAAATCCAAAAGTCTTCCAAAACATGTTTGCCATTCCCTAGAAATCTCAACCTCCAGATCAGGCCAATTTAATGTTTTGAGTATATCCTGGAATTCTTTGACCATGATTTGTACCATTTGTACCCAAAGTTGAGTCGAGGTTTGTTCCACATATGAGACTATATGAATCGCAGCACCTTCCGCTGGCTCCTGAGCCGCTCGTAAAGCCATCGCAAGTTGTCTTAATCGCACATATGGCTTCAGGGCCTGAGTGGGGTTGTCAGGTAGATTTTGACGAGCTTCCTTGGTCATATCATCGACATCCTTCAATAGTTCAATATATGCTTGTGCGAGTTCGACCTGGCGTCGTCTCTCCATCGGTCCTTCCAAGCGTCTTACTGCTTCATCTACAGTGTTTGAAGATGTAACTACCATTATTCGTTCTCGTAAATCCTCTTGTTGTCGCTCAAAGGCTTGCGTTTGTTGAGCCATCGACGAAGTGTGATTCGCGGCGGCTCTTTTGGCCTCTGCGAGCTTGGCTTTCGCATCTTTCAACTGCGAGGAGTACTGATTAGCTAGTAGTACGGGATTCAAAGAGATACTGCGACTCACTTGCTCATCCAGCTGATTTTTTTTCAGTTCTACGTTGTCTAATAAGCTTGATAGACTGCCCAGGTCTGCGGTAATTTGGATTTTGTCGTTCAAATAATCCTCAACTCTCATGTTTTTCTCCTCGACCGGTATAGCGTTATTTGGATTCATTAAAAAAGCCAACGGGCTGCGCTCTCGCTCTATTTGGAGCGACATATTTGTTAATCGGTTTATTGTTTCTTTTCTACCAATTGGTAGTTCACAAGGATTAATAAAGCTGTCCTCTGTTTTCTGTTCTCAGTTAACATACATTGATTGAAATTTGGCGATCTCGCGTCTTCACTTCGTACCCACCAGTATTTTCTGGGGTTCCCTCATTGAAAGATGCTTTCAATGGAAAGACGTCACCGAAATCTGCCACCCGTGTCCCGCCCTTGTCGGATCCATGATTTTCTCTTATAGGTATTACTCGCATAGTTACTATAATTCACTTTAAACAATGCGATATGATTTATTATTCTCCATTCCTGAAATCATAGATGTTTTCTGTTGCTAGGCAGAAATTAAAACAACGGCGCATAGATGATGCTATTTGGCCCAGCATATTCACAATAATCAGCCCTACCATTTCCGGTTCAAGCGGCGTAAGGAGTTGAGATAATGGGGACACCTACGAAACGGAGGAAACTCAACAATGATACAAAGTCGTCTGGTTCTCGAAATCTCGACTTCTTCTTTGGAAAGCAAAAGAAAGATGATCAAGGGTTGCCATCTCAAAGCACTCGAGATGGCCCGGAATCCTCTGAGTTGACCGACGAGCAACTGGCTAGACAATTACAAGAGGAATGGAATCGAGAATCAATTGGCCCAAGAAAGATTGCTGAAAATCTTCTAGTGGGAGCTAATGGGAATCTGCCGGATGCTTTGGGCTCTGCGGCCACTACTACCACTGTTACTAGTGAGGAGACACCAAGTGATGGCAATCCCGACCAGCCAACAATAAAACCATTTATATCAGATACCAATAAGAAATCCCTTTCACTACAATCAGCTGGTACAGCGGAAGACACCATCTCGTCGAACATTCCGTTGGATGAAAGTCCTTTGACCTTCGAACCTTTGAAATATGTGTCTATTCTTCAGAAACATTGGGCTGCAGAAGGGGGTGATGCTTCTTATGCTCTCTTGACAAGATGTTTTGTACTTATAAACAGTACGCAGAGTCGCATAAAGATAGTAGATACTCTAGTCAATTTATTGAGGGTCATTATCGAGGGTGACCCGGATTCTCTCCTACCTACTGTACGTTCAAGCCGTTCTTGCAACTCTATTATAAGCAGATATAACCATTTCTTATCATGGCCCATGTCTTATACCTTTAGACCAGTCTTAGCATCGTATAACATACCCCATGTTCTACTTGTATTAATTCTAGATGTAGGTCTGGCTCGCGACGAACGCGATTTCACCACCATACATATCGCTTGAACTAGGCTTAGGGGGCTCAGCCATTTCAAAAGCATTGAAGAATGTGTGTGGGCTGGACTCCAAGTCATTGAAGACCTTGTATGACAAGCATGGTGATGCTGGCGATGTTGCTTTTGAGGCAAAGAAGAGACAAAGTTTTACTCTAAGAAGACCGAAACCACTAACAATAAAAGGAGTCTATCAATCTCTAGTCAAAATAGCTAAGACTCAAGGGACCGGCAGTAGTGAGATCAAGCAACGAGTTGTTGATCGGTTATTGCAAGACACCAGGGGAGCAGAAGAGAGTCGATACGTTGTCAGAACCCTTTGCCAACATGTGAGCGATTATTCTATTTCATTCCAGTGTATTTCTGACTTTATGTGCGATAATATATGCAAAGCATCAGTTCTCATATCTCCCTACAACACAAACTAACTTGTATATCAGCTTCGTATCGGTGCAGTAAAAACTACGATGTTGATCGCTTTATCTAGAGCATTCCAGCTATCTAGACCACCGGGAGCAGACTTTTCTTTCAAGTCACCACAAGAGCTGGCAAAATTTAAGAAAGAAGCTCTGGCTGACGTGTGGTCCAAGGGTGAGGAGGTTGTGAAAGCATGCTTTGCCAAGAGACCCAACTACATTGATCTGATTCCTGTCCTACTTGAGATTGGTGTCTGCGAGGAGCTACTGGTTAGATGCGGACTAGCCTTACATATTCCATTACTTCCTATGTTAGGAAGCATTACTAGAGATCTTGCAGAAATGCTTACGAAACTTCAAGGTCGAGATTTCAGTTGCGAGTATAAGTATGATGGACAACGAGCCCAAATTCATTGTGACGAGAATGGGAAAGTGTCAATATTTTCGAGGCATCTGGAACTTATGACTGACAAATATCCTGATCTGGTGGCTTTAATACCAGAGATACGTGGAGAGGGAGTCAATAGTTTCATCATGGAAGGAGAGGTCGTTTCTGTCGATCGGGAATCTGGTGATCTGAAAACTTTCCAATCACTTGCAAATCGAGCGAGAAAAGACGTGGCAATTGGAAGTGTCACAATTGATGTGTGTTTCTTCTCTTTCGATTTGATGTATTTGAATGGAGAATCGCTTCTCAATCGAACCTTTAGGGAAAGACGAGAACTTCTTCGGGGTTTGTTTATTGAGGTACCGAGTAAATTCACATGGGTGAAGAGTATTGATGCTACTTCTCAAGATTCAGAGGTCGTCTTAGAATTCTTCAAAAGTGCGATAGAGCGAAAGTGTGAGGGAATCATGGTGAAGATTCTAGATAACCTACCTAGCGCTACACTACCCGATTCTGAGGATTTGCCAGAAGAACTTGAGAGCTCTATTCTTCGTACGCCTCAGAAACAACTCAAAGGGAAGAAGAAATCTACAGATAAAGAACCCGAAAAGAAAACCCGCCGGAAAGCTTTACTAGCCACCTACGAGCCCGACAAACGACTGGACTCTTGGCTGAAAGTGAAGAAAGACTATAGTGCTTTATTTGATACACTCGACTTGATACCTGTCGCTGCATGGCATGGCTCAGGACGTAAGGCAAATTTTTGGTCACCAATTCTCCTCGCCGTTCGCAACGATGAGACTGGCACTTTGGAAGCCGTGTGTAAATGTATTTCGGGGTTTACCGATACCTTCTACAAGGCCAACAAAGAGTTCTACGCAGAGGGAGGCGATCATGTGCTCGGAGGAAAGCCAAATTATGTCGATTATCGAGGAAGTAATCCCGATGTGTGGTTCGAACCGCAAGAAGTTTGGGAGATGGCTTATGCGGATGTGACGATCAGTCCGGTGTATAGAGCGGCGATTGGTCTTGTGAGTGATGAAAAAGGATTAAGCATGAGGTTTCCTAGATTCTTGAAGAAAAGAGAAGATAAATCTATAGAAGAGGCAAGCACGGGCGAATTTCTGGCTGGGTTGTGGAGGAAGCAGGAGCAAAAGGTTGATGGCGGGAAGAATGAACTAGAAGAGGATGAGAAATGATCTATAAATCACCAGAGTCATTCTAAGTGGGTGGTAAAAGGGCTACGAAGATGATACCATATTTGTTGGAAAAGTACCGTACATAGCAGACGTTGTTGCAAGTAAGAACTGAATGCAATATCACCTTTATGCCGATTAAATAAATGGTAAAAGATTTGAAAAACATCTGATCATATTTCGAAAAGGATTCAATGTACCACACGAGTATGTTGTCAAGTTCAGATCAAACGGATTCAATGTATCAAATAAATTTATTGTCCAAAATTGATTTAAACGTGTTAAAGAAACATTCATTACCGGAAATCAAATCTAGTACTGAGTACTGTTTGCTAAGCCCACTTAATCTAGCCTGTCGTTGCCGAGCCAACATGAAGTTACAACCTCGGAAAAAAGAGACGACAATTGACACATCAACATCTCAGTAACATCAATTTAAGGCTCAAACTACAATCAATTAATCACAACAGTATACTTTATGGCGAGACTTGTGGTGTATAGTAGCGATGAGGAGTTTCCGGATGTAAACGAAGTAATTCGAGGAAAAGCGAAAACGAAAACAACCACAAAATTGACGACATCTCGAAAAGTGTCGGAGGAAGCAGTTGGGAAAGTCGACCGCAGTGGACCAGCGAAAAGTTGTTCAAGGAAGGAGAATGGATCGATTGGTTCAAATGTCAAGGGACTGGAGAGCGATGAGATAGATGGATCTGAGAATGCAAAACCTAAAGTTAGGCGGCGCATGTTGAAGCTGAATTCGGATAATCCACTTTTAAAACCATTGGGCACGAGTTTGAAAAAGTCAAGTGTAGAGCCCAGAATAGCATCAGCCTCAAACTCAGCTATGCCGATGTCAAAGGTATTGGAAGAAGAACCAAGAAAGAAAACGACCACTCGGAAACCTAGGATACCGGACAAGGATGAGGACGAGGAGCGAAAAGCAATGGCTTGGCAACCTAAGAAATTGGAATCGGATGTGGAAGACGAAGAAGATGGTTCAGATCTATCGGATTTTATCGTGGACGACGATGATGATTCTGATGTATTCAAAACACCACCAAAATCAACCCGGAAATTGGTTAAAGGTCGCAGGACAGTGGTGGAGGAGTCCAGTGATACTGATACGGAAGAAGAGATCCTGCGCCAGCTTCTGGATAGGACTTCAATTCAGGACAAAAAGAAACCCCGTGAACTCAAACCACCTGAGCTCAAACCGCCAAAGAGATCCGGGAAAGTCGAAATCCGACCAGGAACATCTTCCAGTTTTGATGACAATGGAGCTGTTCTACGATTGTAAGTATATAGACTTTACGCAACATAAACCTGCTAACAAATACAAGTTCCCCATCACCCAGAAAAGTGTCCAGGGAAGTGCGACTATCAACTCCTCCAGGAAGCCCAGAACTCAAACCTCGAGGACTCACATCACCCAAAAAGCTACCACGTATCCCATCTACACCACATCGTCCAAGTATGGATAGTTTCTGGTCACAAGATCTCGTCAATGACTGGAATGACCAGTATTCTCCAATGAAGACCCTCCAACCTATTCCCAAGTCCAAACTCCAGCCTCCTTCGACCTCTGGGGGCACTCTTCTCTCCAAGAAAGCTAGTTTCACTAAACCTCCCCGCATCGATAAGGAATCTAAAAAGGCTTTCTCCACAGCGAAGCATACCATCGCATCAGACTTTCTCGCCGAACTCGACGCAAAGATAACATCTGGCCGTATAGCTCAACTATCCGCCTCTACAGGCGGCGTCCAAATAGTCTGGTCCAAAAAACTCAACACCACGGCCGGACGCGCAACCTGGAAGCGTGAAACTGTCAAACTTCCTCCCTTAAGCACAAATTCCAAACCAGTTCCCACCCAATACTCTCACTACGCGTCCATCGAGCTAGCCGAGAAAGTAATCGACGACGAAAATCGACTACTCAACGTCCTTGCCCATGAATTTTGCCACCTAGCCAACTTCATGGTGTCCAACATAAAAACCAATCCCCACGGCAAAGAATTCAAAGTCTGGGCTGCGAAATGTTCGGCGGAATTTGGGGATCGCGGCATCGAAGTCACGACTAAGCACAGTTATGAGATTGACTACAAATACGTATGGGAATGTACGGAACAGGGATGTAGCACGCTGTTCAAACGGCATTCGAAGAGTATTGATGTGCAGAAACATCGCTGTGGTGCATGTAAGGGTATTTTGATACAGATCAAACCCGTGCCCCGGGGAAAGGCGGCGGGGAAGGGGGAGAATGAGTATCAGGTTTTTGTAAAGGAAAATATGAAGAGGATTAGGGAGGAGAATCCGGAAAGTCCGCAGAAGGATATTATGGGGTTGATGGGGAAGAGGTATCAGGAGGTTAAGGCTAGTAAGGCGGCGAAGGCTGCCGGGGAGAAGGGGGATTCCGAGGAGAGTAAACCCGATGATGGGGACGTGGAAATAATTTCGAGGACGCTCAACTTCCTGGATTTAACCACTCCTTGATAGTTCCCGAACGATCAATTTTGTCTTTGAGTTTGGTTGTACTACCTAATGATATTCTTCCTATCCTGATCAACTTCCCTAAAGGAACACTTATGCTATAGATACACATTGCCCTGTCTTGCTTGACAATGTACCGACCGGTAGATGAAAATATAAAAACCACCCTGGCAACATTGTCACACGAAATCCTCACCCGCCCCAATTCAAGAAAATTCATTCGCCATGCCATGCCATTTCATCAGATTTCACCCTTTGCATTCCATTCCCTTGCAACCAAATCACCGAATATCCATGCATCTCCCAGATCCCATTCATTCATCTCTCCGTGCCCATTCATCACCAATCTCATCTCTCTCTCCTCTCCCATCTCTCCTCTCCCATATATCTACACCTCATCAAAAAGACCCCAATCCTTAATATGAAACGTCTCCCAAATCTTAGCCGCATGCTCCACAGCATTTTCAATCAATTTTCCCTGTTTCCCCAACTGCAAATCCACGTCGTCGGCCGAATACTCGCCTTGGATATGTGGTACATTGATCGTCACCAAAATATCCGTGCTCTCGCGCTCCAATCGGACGAGGTTGAGTACTATGGCTGTGAAATCTGGGGCGGAGGCTTGGGGATCGGGATCGTGGGGTGGTGTTTGGGTCGCGATTAGTGTGTAGGCTGGTGTGCCTTCTCTTTTGGGGCGTGTCAGTATTTAGCTCGAGGTGGGCTTTTGGGCACGTGATGATGAGATGATGAGATGATGTGGATGAGTGATGGGGAACGAGGAGAGGAGAGGAGAGGAGAGGAGAGAGGGAACAAGAATGAATGAATGTATGGCGCTTACGGCAATTTAGAAAATTGTGTATCAGTAATCGACCATACTTTCACAGAATCAAGATCCGAATCAACAATATCTTCCAAATGAGCAGTCATAGCCGCGCCATCGGTAGCCGGGCTAGAACCAGCAGTACCAACTCGCTCGGTGATATCAAAGATGATACTGGTGAAACCATCTTTATCCAAATATACTTCTTGGTGGTCGGGAACTTGTCTTATGGTACTATGTAATTTGTTAATTGATGATGAGATTTTGAGTTTTCCGAAGGGGAAGATGCATGTGGGGCGGGGCGGGGTTGTATGGTTTTTGGTGTTGGATGATTTCTTTCTTACCTGACGTCGGCGAATGTGGTGGGGAGATCTACGGTGAGAGCGCCGCCGAAGAGAGGGATGGAGGAATATGTTGTCATGGTGGAAAGAGTACAGTATATGATTTATTTATAATCGTATGAGAGTGTTTTGTTGATGGGGTTTGGAGAGCTTTTGATATGTTGCGTTGGTAGGATATATAGGAGGGCCACTGTAAGGCTAGGTAAGACGTCACCTTACTTGATGAGATTCGCTTGACGAGTGAGTAACAGGGAAGATGGAAAGCCAACAGATATTTGCCTAAATCGTCTATTATAAGAAATTGCAATAAAATAATAAGAGTTCAATAATAAGTATCAAGAGCTTACTGTAAAACTTTGAAGATATTGATATCCGGTTATAATTGCTCTTTATTCCGCTAACAATACTATAGGCAGGTTTTAGCGACTGGGATTGTTTCAAAATACAGTGACGATGATGCACAGGATGGAGACGAAAGAAGAATGTCTACTTATACTCGAGTATGATGATACCATCCTTAAAACATATTCTTATCCGCCGGACATTAATGTCCGTATTTCAACATTATATGTAACATACTAAAAATGCTTCACAGACATCTTCAGAACAGACCGTTGAGTTACTATTATATGTAGTGTATTATCACAGCTTCAGTATGTTTTGGAGAGAGTCTCGCAGTCGTGACGATTCTTCGCACCTTTGTGTTCAGTTATGTATCTGCTACGTTCTTGATTTATGTCAGACTGGTTACTGTAGTGCATGTCATGTATGAATACTCGAGTAGTACAAACAGCATATCACGGAGAAAATCAGCATGATTATGAGGCTGAATCAAATTCAGAGTTGTATACTTTTGTGGTCGTATCAACATGCTTTACGGTTTTTGCAAGTCGATTGACTGTGGAGACCTATGGTATCACCCAGAAGCCAATCGCAATGACACCAAAGATTCGGCATCCCGCCAACTATATAAAAGCCCTGCAGACTCAGCGCAGAAAGTTTGTAAGTTGTGCATCAAAATTATAAAAGGTGCGCAGGGTCGGGAGCAAGGGTTGTCGGCAAGAGACTCAGAAGAGTATAACACCGAAGAGCTGGAGATATGTTGCCGGCTAAGATATTACTCTGGGATATTACTCTCGTCAATTTGGACAAATGGGAGTCATATTTCGAGAGGAGTTTCTTCATTCCCGTTTCAGTAGCATTATAAAGATAATACAACCATTTAGTTTCGTTTTATCATTCGAATTTCCCCGCTGCTGCGTTGAATATCATCTGTGGACGGCCTATCCCAATTCCACCTGATTCGTCAAGATCTTTTGATTTAGCTTGAACGTGGCTTCAAGATTGTCTTCGCAACCATTAAAGTTCCTACCCGAGCAATTGAACAGCTCTTTTACCTTCGCGTTTCATTGATGTTGGATCCGAGCATTATTTCCAGACACGACATATACACATTAGTAAAGAAGGTGAAATGGGTAGTTGAGTCGCTTCAAGCCATTGTTGGGCAGAAATATATAACCATGTGACCAGCGTTACCATTCTAAGCTCTGGAATGCGTTCTATTTATGTGCAAGAGCTTCCACCTAGGCCTAAAGATGTCATCATGGTCACTAGGCGTCTGAGATTCAAATCCCTCTGGGTTGACTCAATTTGCATTCTCCAAGGCTCCGGCTTCGATGCCGCCGCCAGGCACATTGGCTGTTCGAGTCAAGAAGCATGCGAGATTACAGTTACTTGAATCAGGACAGCGGTGGTATAGGTTGGTCAATGTTCATGAAGCTCGTTCTCTCGGTTTTGAGACCGATCGACGCTTTGCATTGGCAGCTCTAGCGCAAGAAATTGAAACACGGTTTATTTACTTGTTAGATGGGAATATGGGCCGAAGACGCCCATAATGGCCCTGTCTAGACTCTGGAAACCATGGGCAACCGGAATTACCACAGATTTATATGTTGCACCTTCGTAGAGCTGGGCCATACTTTGCCTCAATTATCAGCATACGGCTCAACTCTTTGGCTATTGTCCTGAACTGGAGGAGGGAATCAATAGACCAAGGACCAGGATTCAGAGCGCAGATATCTGGCTATGAGATCATGACATGACTGCCGATGGAATTCCCAATGGGCGTGTTGTTTCTGCGAAGCTCACACTTCGAACTTTTTGTCTCAATCTAGATCAATTGCTAACAAGCCCTGATGCGCAGTGTCCCCATTATCCCGATTTGACAGACATTGACAGTTCCTTCCATATGACATGATTATCGAAGAAATACGTACATCAAAACCCAACAAAGCAACCTCAGACTCCGCCCCTGTTTTTCTCAAGGAAATGGAAGCTCTTCAAAAGCACTATGCTGTGCAAGTTGCAACATACTCTCAATAGTGTCGTAATGATACAAATCGAAAACCTCACGGCTCTTGACAATAAATAGTGCAATCCTGCATTTAAACAATCGACGTGTCCATGCGATTATGAATCTTCTTAATGAGCCGGAGATCGGAGATCGAAGAGGGAACGTCCAGAAGAGTAGGCTTGGTTGAGGTCCTAGAATCGCAGAATTTGTGTGTAATACCATGGGAGGGAGATGCCTACCTACTATCGTACTTGTATGAAATCGTATACTGTTATTTAGTTTTAGCTTTATATAGCAATATCATGAAATTTGTCATTGTATTTATTAAATTGCCAGTGAACCAAATTAACATGAACTCGAGAAAACCATCAGGAATCCATCCTTTTTTTGGGTAGGTGGAAAAGTGGGTGGATTCCAGGTCCAGGACAGTAAGCCACCACCACCATACATACCTTACACCAACTCCATAAGACCCACCAAAAAACTCCATAAAAACCTCGCTTGTCCCTCCATCCATCTCCCCCGCGCCGAAAACCAAAAAACAATCGAAATCCTCAAAAACTAAACAAACACCCATCAAAAAATCAAAAATAAGGTTCTCTGAATAATCAGAAGGTGTGTTACAAAGATTTGATGAATGGAGTATTATGGGCATGAGCCACGGTCATCTCTGGTAAAAGGCAAGAAATGAATTCTGAGCTAGCTTGTCCCACTCCGAATGGTAAACTGCTTATTATATTTATATATAGGTATAGAGAGGTATGTATGTAGATATGTGGGAGGAGCTTGGACCTGGTCGGTTATTTCGGTGTTAGTGGGCTAGTGGGAGCTTGGGGACGAACTGGAATGCTGGAATGTCGGATTTGAATGAACCCCGCGTTGGTTTGGAGGGTAAACACCAAAGTGCAAGAGAGTGAGAGCTTCATTATTTAACTTTACTCGTACACCTTTACAATTTACAATTTACGGTTACCATACAAGATTTTCTTTTATTTGATTTGACTTCACCTTTGACCTTGAGATTCTCAGATAAAAATGGCCTCCCAAGCTGCATGTATCTTCTGCAAGATCATCAAAGGTTCGTTCCTCCATCTCCCATTTCCAAATACCAGTACCAGTATATATACAGACAGGACAAAAGCTCACATCCCCCAGGAGATATCCCCTCCTTCAAACTCTACGAATCGGAAAAAGTATTCGCGTTTCTCGATATTAATCCATTGTCAAGGGGTCATGCTGTTAGTATTTCCTTTCTTTACCTTATCTTACCTTACCGTCTACTTTTATTCCTCTAATTCCTCTGCTTGCTCTGCTTGCTTGCTACATTTCTTTATTGCTCCATCCTTCCTTCCTTCCTTTCTTTCTTTCTTTCTGCGAGCTGCGTGGTCTCTATTTGAAGCTCTTGTGACGTTTCTATGTGTGGATGGATAGTTAGATGGATCGATGGACGGGGAATATAGATGGGCATATGAATAAATTGAATAAAACTAACAGGACCGATATAAATCTAGCTCGTAATCCCCAAATTCCACGGCGAGAAATTGGTTGACATTCCAGATGATCAATTAGAGGAGATTTTGGTATATACTTTACATTACCCCTTCTCTCTCTTCTCCTCCCTCCTCTCTTATCTTCCTCCTCATCCTCATCCTCATCCGTATCTTCGAAAACAAAGCCCTTTCGCATACTATACATACTATACATACGATATAAAAGCGGGCTGCGGGAGAACTTAGGAATACAAAGGTATATGCTGACAAACACGATACACAGCCAGTAGTAAAGAAACTCGTGGTAGCAACCGGTGCCGAAAATTACAACGTGTTGCAGAATAATGGACGTATTGCGCATCAGGAGGTGGATCATGTATGTTTTTCCCTTTTTCTTCTCTTGTCTATCTTATTCCCTTCCTTTCCCTCCTCTATACCCTTTCACTTATATAATAACTAACCTCTCTCCCTCCCTCTAGGTACATTTCCACATGGTTCGTCTCCCAATTTTCTCTCTCCCTCATCTCTCATCCCTCATCCCCAGCCCCATCATATCATCCACAGCCCCAAAATCCAACCCAATCCCCCTCCAACTTCCAACTCCCAACTAACCCTCCTTCCCCTCCCCCCTAGATCCCCAAGCCCTCCACCGACTTAGGACTGACCATCGGTTGGCCGCAACAAAAAACAGACATGGATGTTCTCAAAGCGCTCTTTGCCAAGATAAAATCAAATATGTAAGGTTCTTTTCTACGACTTTCGCGGATTTGCGTTGGGTTTGTAAGGGAGTAGTAAGTAGTGATATTGAGAAGTTAAGTGGGTTGAGTTGAGAGTAAATAAGGCAGGCGCAGATATATTATCATACTCTCTTAATTTTATAATTATAGGAAAAATTATGCTTGTATAGTGCATGATTATTCAATAGTCTAAAGTCCGGATAGTAGTCTAGATGGCTAGTCTATGATATGATATGATTGGACCGGACCACATGGACTATTGGTGAATCTGAAATGAAAAGTCCGGCTCAGCTACCAAGTCCAATTTTTAGTAGTCGAGACTGCCGTCTAGACTTTATGTATAATTTTTTCTCCAATACGCAAATCAAACCAAGTATCTATCTATCGTTTATTCGATCAGACCAAAGAATCTTATCTTATTAATCTCATCTTATCTCAACTCAACTCATCTTGATATCAAAATCCAGATAATCTTATACAATTCCACTCACTCAATCTAATCGATATCATCCGCCGAAGTGTGAACGACCGACGTAGCCGTAACCGGAGGAGGTGCCGCCACCTTGACCTTTGGATAAAAATCCAATTTGCCGCCTGGATTAATCACACTCACCCGATCATACAAAGATTTGGCCCTAACATACGGATCTAATTTCCAATAATCATCTCGTAATTCCTTTGCCAATTCCTGTCTCTTTTCTTTGGTTTCCGGTATGCTACCCCCGGAATTGATCCAGTCCAGCGTAGCTTTCTCATATGCATTCACCATTGTTTCACGTTCTGCGAGAAGTTTATCTCGGGTTACTGTATCTTTCATAGCGTCGTTTTCGCCGGGGACGGGCTCTACAAATTGGTAGGACCAGTCTTCGTCGCCCCCGAGTTCTTTGAGAATTTGGGAGCGGGGGACGAATTCTTCCATTTCGTCGACGTTATTGGTGAAGTGAACTTTGCTTGCTACGACGGGGTCGAGCCAGCCACGGATTATTTTCCAGATACCTGTTTTGGATTAGCGGTTGGAACTTAATGTTCTCAATATCATATGCTTACCTTGGAAAACCCATGGTGCTCTGTGAACTAATACTACACCTAGACTTTCCGGGTAATTCGCTTCGAAGCATTTGATCATGAATTTGACAGGTGCATAATCCTGATGGAGTTAGTAACTTGCTGTAAAACTTCTGATCTTTTCACTCACCATATTCGCCAGAGAAAATCCAGTCAAATCAAATACCACACACTATCATACGGTCAGTACTTATAATTGAACGAGGTTAAAGAAAATAAGGGAGGCTGTATTCTTACAGCAGTGTCTACCGGTGGATCTAATAACATCCTGGCCGATTCTATAGTGAAAACTGTATATCTTTCCAGACTCTCTTCCGACTGTTCGCCTTGCTTGTGTAGGCGAGCTCTTACGAAACACATTGGTCTCCCGGCTCTGGAGAAATTTCATATTAGCAAAAGGTCTAGAATTGCGTCGCTGAGGGGTAACAGGAGACCCGAGTTGAGTCAAGAGGCATAAATGTTAGTATACATACTTGTCTTGTCCATGTAGGAAACTTTTCCCCGAACGCAACTGCATGAGGAATCCTTCTCCAAGCTTCTTCTTTTCAACATCAGTTCCCTTCTCATCTTCAACAGCTCCTAATTCTCCATTCTTCATAATATCGTCGTCAACATGCATATCCGAAGCCCTCCATCTCATGGTAGATATCATCATGACCAATGCCTTATCCACATCCCATTTCCTTGCTCGCAAGAACCGTAATAGAAGCGCATCCGGATGATCATATTTCACCATACTCCAGAAAGCCGTTCGAATAGACGCCGGTGGCAGACTTGCCAAAGCATCGTGGAATTCCTTGGTTTGTCCATACTTGTCGTCCATATCCGAAGCATTCGAGATGCGCGAGGCAGCGCTAGAAGATTTCGGAGATGTTGTATCATCATCCTTATGTTTCCTACGCAGTGCAGAGAATCTCTTTTTCTTGGGCTTCTCAGAAGCCGAGGTATCCGAATTTGCGACACCATTGCTAACTTCCGACTCGCCACCGGTTCCATTTGTCTCTGCGTGAGGATCAAGTACGCCAAAGACATGTAAAGTGGCAACCCAGAATTCTCGCAATTTCTCCTCCTCGTGTGCGGTCAATGTGCCAGGTCGGCCAGGAAGCGTTTCGCCCGTCATTTTGTAATAATCGTAATATTCTTGCTCGGAATCTACTTGCTGTAGTCTAGGTGTATGTGTTTTTGGCCGACTTTTTGTTGAAGTATAGAGAAATGCGCTGCTAATAAAGGTAAGGAGTAAGACAATTGCCCAATTTCCTAAGCTGCTTTGCACCGGTGTTGGTAAAGATGATTCAAGGGAAGTATTGCGCTTTTTAGGGTGGTTGGGTAAGGACAGGCTTCGATTACAGGTATAAGTTGTAGTGCTCGACTGTCTCAGAGCTATGTTAGGAAGTAGAGTTGTGCGATTTCCCAATCCCTTGATTCTGAAGATGTCTGAGTGGGTTTCAGAATAGTTGCGACGAAGAGGTGCAGATGATTCTATCCTACAGAAAGACCCAATGGAATGTTGGCGGTTACGATTCCGACGTAAAAAGGTGGGAGATATAGAAACTGAATGCTGAGTGTATTGATGAACAAAACCGTTTGTTACGCCTACTGATCTTTTCATGGAAAGATATATGATTGAGTATTTGTAACGTGAGGAGGGTCAGAATGAAGGAGGGGTTGAGAAATGAAGTGAGGAGACATCAAATATTTGATATATGATTGATATATGATATGCTTATTGTACACAATATTACAAAAGTTCTCTTACCCGTGCCGAGATATTATTATCCAACTACGAATGAATTCAGGAAATTAGAATACCGATGATCAGGATGGAGCGGACTTTGTAATACTCATTTGGAATCCGAAGAAGCCGTAGATCTTTTAAAATCAACTACTTGAGTACCGGTACAATTCATATTGATATTTCATAAAATTCGTCATTGTGCGCTCTGCTGTGGCCCTTGTGTGCACAGCGGGGTAGAAAGTATATTTTATTAATCTCACCGCTTTGAGATAATGCCCTGGCCTGTGTTATAACATTTGATTGTAAGGCCAGCATTTGAACGAACCCTCCTCCTCAAACAAAAGCCACATCTCCAACGATTATCCATTGTCCCAAAACATGGCATCTACAACTCCCTTCAGCGGCGGTAACAACACCAAAAGATCCACCTCCGCCTCTCGAAATCCTCTCTCACGACCAACGACCCCCTTGCGCCCCTCCTCTCGCTCTTCTCTCCGCGATTCTGCGAGAAAGAGTACAGGCGGTTACTCGAGTGCCCCCTTGGAAGCATTTGAGCCGGCTTTTGCAGAATTGTCGGATTCGATGGCGGATTTGGAGGCCAATTTTATGCATTTACAGTTGATGCATGAGAGTTTGGCTAGATTCAGTGAGAACTTTGCGAGTTTTCTTTATGGGTTGAATATGAATGCTTTTTGTGTGGATTTTCCAGAGGTTGGTTTACTTGAATTGGTGCGTCACTTGGGCATCAGCAGCTAAATATGTTACCAGGCACCCATTCCAGATTCATTTCGTCGAGCACAGGAGCAGGAGGAGCAATTAGGTCAGTAATGATGAATACTTGGACGTTGAAAGAATACACTGATAGTTTTGATAGGTCGATCAACAAATTCAGAAAGGTTCCGTGGTGACATTGATGGAGAAACAACATTTTTGTAAGCAACCTATTATTCGCTGCTATGGTTCATGGCTCATTGACTTCTCTAGGACCACTGATACCTCCTTCGTTGATAATCCTCCAACTTATTCCAAAGCAACTCCGAAATATACAACCCCAGCACCATCACGAATAGCAGGCTCTTCTAGCCGAGGTGGATCTTCTGGTGGCTCTGGCTCATCTGGTAGAGGTATTCCAGTTCCGCGCGGTGGACGTGGCGGTAGAGCAAGCGGTCCTGCGAGAGGGCGAGGTCGTGGTGTAAGATAAGATGGAACATATACCTCACAACTCCCCCACCATGATACCCCCATATATTTTATAGTAGCCACGATACGATGGACAAAGCGATGATAACCCCCTCTATGATTTACTCCATGTCAGGGAACACGATGCCCGTGCTCAAGTTTGCTGGTCGTTAAGAAATCCTGAGTTTTCCATCTCTACTTCGACATCCAAAGCTTTGTTTCTGGTACCATTATCTGAAGGACCCTGCCCTATAGCTGCTTCTGCATCCCTTTGTGTATATGGTCCCTCCTTCAATGTCTTGGCTCTGTTAAAGCCCAGTTAGCACGATGCTGTCAAGATCCTTCATAATCACTAAACGTACCTTCTCTTATGAGTTTTGCCTTTAAGATGCGACAGCATATTATTTTCTGATTCGTACCATTTCGCACACTCAATACAATAGAATTTCCCCAAACCTGGCAAATCCTCCGCAGTTTTTGAATCTTTGTGTTGGGCCAAATGTTTTGGAGAACGAAGATCCTCACAGATTTGATCGAGATCTCTGTAACGAGAATATTAGTTTTGCGCACAAATCTTCCGCATCCTACAATTGAATTACTTGCCTCAAATGTCTCCTCGTCTTCGTTTTGGTTGTCTTCTGAGGGATACCCATTTTGAATTTTGAATTGCCGGCTTGCTGATATGTTTGCTTCGTCGACTTGATTGGAGTTGACTGCAGATGGAAATTTCGATGTAGGGTTGTCGTATCGTAATTATTAATTTTTTTGCTCATTCTGGCTTTTGAAAATTACGGGGAAACTTTTACCCACTAAAAGATGACCCACTTTGGATGACCAATCGAGTGTTGTGCATCTGTCCGAGGGCTGCACGGCTAGAACGGGAAGATGTTGTACGGAATCTGGACTTTTCTGAAAAGCTCCGCTCCCTCCCATTCCATCCTGGGCCGACTCGACTTCCTGGCGGACCTACAATTAACTGAGATGGCCTTGAACATTTATAGGCTTTGGTACAGTACACTTGATAATACAAATGAGAACTCAAAATCAGTTGAGAAGTTCAAGCTGTGTGATATATTATTCATGGAAGCACATTCAGTACAGTACCGTATATAGCCTCGGGGAAGTCTTAATGTTCATGACACATGACCGGAGTAGATATCCGATTTCGCATCAGATCGGACCCGTTTGACGGAAATCATAGTAAAGCCAGACTCAAAAGCAAATTGACAGTGGATAAATGGATGCGGGTATTGATATCTAATTGGGCATCACCGAGAAAATTTGACCTCTTCTTCGACCTGCAGACCTACAAAATCTTCGCATTTGAAATATGACCGCAAACAAAGACAAGAGGCTTGCTTCACAATATCATACCACCAGCCCTTGACGCGAGACGAGAGCAACACAAAGTATGAGTAAAAATAGATAATAAATTCAAAAGATGTAAATCAATTCAATAGTTTAGATAAATTCATATAATAGTTATTAACTTGAACATCTTTATATTTTTATATCAGTCGTTTTTGGTTAGTTTTTATAATATCTAAATCATTACAGTCAATACATCGTATATATCCATCCAACCTTACCCGTTGTTTTGAAAAATAATACCTCATTTTTGATTGGACCGGTCGGTAATATTGGTCAAAGCTTGAAAGATAAACCCGCGGCTCCAAGCTTCGGCTGTCCAAGTTTCTTCCTCCCACTACTATTTTACAACTTCAAGTTGGTTAAATATAAACAACCTACAACCTTCGTCCCTCCCCCTCTTTTGCCTCCCAACTTCTCTCACAATGTTGGCTACACGACAGGTTCTCGCTGCTGCGCAGCGGCGAGCATTAACTGGCATGAGCATTCGCACTATGGCCACTGTCAGTGATTCCCCGCTTGATAAACAAGTTAGACAAAATATACACGAAAAGAACAACTTCATCAACTACAAGAAGATGTCCGAGAACCTCTCAATCGTTCGACAAAGATTAAACCGACCTTTGGCATACGCTGAGAAGATTCTATACTCCCATCTGGATGATCCTCATGGTCAAGAGATTGAACGTGGTGTATCATACCTTAAGCTCCGACCCGATAGAGTTGCTTGTCAAGATGCCACTGCTCAGATGGCTATCTTGCAATTCATGTCAGCTGGCATGCCTTCTGTCGCAAACCCTACCACCGTACACTGTGATCATTTGATTGAAGCACAAATTGGGGGTGTTAAGGATCTCCCTCGGGCTATCGATATCAACAAGGAGGTCTACGATTTCCTTTCTACATCTTGCGCAAAATACAATATTGGTTTCTGGAAGCCAGGTTCCGGTATCATTCATCAAATTCTTCTCGAGAATTACGCTTTCCCAGGTGGTCTTCTCATCGGTACTGATTCTCACACACCAAATGCCGGTGGTCTCGGAATGTGCGCCATTGGTGTTGGTGGAGCTGATGCTGTCGATGTTATGGCCAACCTCCCTTGGGAGTTGAAGGCACCAAAGGTTATTGGTATCAAGCTCACTGGTCAACTTTCTGGTTGGGCTACTCCAAAAGATATTATTCTCAAGGTTGCTGGTATTCTGACCGTCAAGGGTGGAACTGGTGCTATTGTTGAATACTTCGGTCCAGGAACGAACACCATCTCATCGACGGGAATGGCAACTGTCGCGAATATGGGTTAGTTTTTTTTGCATCTTGCCGTCGGTTTCTTGTCCTAACTCTTTTTTACAGGTGCTGAAATCGGTGCAACAACCTCTCTCTTCCCATTTAACGACCGCATGTACGATTATCTCGCTGCTACCAAGCGTACCGAGATTGGAGACTATGCTCGCACATACGCCAAGGAACTCAGAGAGGATGAAGGCACAGAATATGATCAATTGATCGAGATTAACCTTTCTGAGATTGAGCCACATATCAACGGACCATTCACTCCAGATCTTGCCACTCCTATCTCCAAGTTCAGCGCGGCCGTCAAGGCTAACAACTGGCCTGAGGAATTAAAGGTCGGACTTATTGGTTCTTGCACAAACTCCTCATATGAGGATATGTCTCGTGCTGCTTCTATTGCTCGTGATGCCATGGATCATGGTGTTAAGGCAAAGGCTATCTTCACTGTTACTCCAGGTTCCGAACAAATCCGTGCTACTATCGAGCGTGATGGTCAATTGCAAACCTTCGAGGTTAGTACCCCTATACCTCTCTCCCTTTTTTACCCCTTCAGAGTGTCCATGTAGTTGTCGATAATAATCTGGGCATTGAAACACTCTGTTAAGAAAGCAACTTTTTTCCTCCCCTTTGAAGTGTTCCGTGAGGGATTACTTTTCCGATTTTCTTCCATTTACAATCCATATACATTTCTCCAGTTCCTTCGATTCATTAAGAAAACATCATGCTAACTATACTACCAGGAATTCGGCGGAATGGTTCTGTATTTACTCCTTTTTCTTTGTCTCATCTTCCCACAAAAGTGTTTGTTGATACCCATTTACTGACTCTCCGATTTTGTAGTGCTAACGCATGTGGCCCATGTATCGGTTAGTACCCCTTTTACTTTTTCTCCCCTATTTTCTACACCCCTAGAGCGACTTTTTCAACTGTTGAGATTTAACTTGGACACTGAAATGCTCTGGGGCGAGACTTTTCCACGTCCCGTCCATTTCACTTCCATGAATAAATACTAACTATCGAAAAGGACAATGGGATCGAAAAGATGTCAAGAAAGGAGAAGCTAACTCCATTATCTCATCCTACAACCGTAACTTCACTGGACGTAACGATGCCAATCCCGCCACCCACTCTTTCGTCGCATCACCTGATCTCGTAGTCGCTATGACTATCGCTGGTTCCCTCCACTTCAACCCTCTTACCGATAGCTTGAAGGACAAGGATGGAAATGATTTCAAGTTGTCTCCACCTACCGGTGATGGATTGCCATCAAGAGGATATGACCCAGGACAAGACACTTACCAAGCACCACCTTCCCAGCGTGCTTCAATCAATGTTGCTGTCTCACCAACCAGTGACCGTCTTCAACTTCTCCAGCCATTCAAGGCATGGGATGGAAAAGATGCTTTGGATTTACCTATCTTGATCAAGGCTAAGGGAAAGACTACCACTGATCACATCTCTATGGCTGGTCCATGGCTCAAGTACCGTGGACATTTGGACAACATCTCCAACAACATGTTGATTGGTGCCATGAACAGTGCAAATGGTGAGGCCAACAAGGTCAAGAATTTCACCACTGGTGAATTCGATGCCGTTCCAGCTACCGCCAGAGACTACAAGAAGAAGGGTATCCCATGGGTTGTCATTGGTGACTGGAACTACGGTGAAGGAAGTTCAAGAGAACACGCTGCTCTTGAACCAAGACATCTTGGTGGTCTTGCCATCATCACCAAGTCTTTCGCCCGTATCCACGAGACCAACTTGAAAAAGCAAGGAATGCTTCCTTTGACCTTCATTAACCCAGAAGACTATGACAAGATCGACCCATATGACAAGGTATTAATCTCAAACTACTATTCTTGCAAAACAAAGCTAATCCTTTTCACCTCTAGGTCGACCTTTTGTGCACTGAGATCGCCGTTGGCAAGCCAATGACCCTCAGAGTTCACCCTAAGTCTGGCGAGGCATTCGACATCAAGCTTGCTCACACTTTCAACGCCCCGCAAATCGAATGGTTCAAGAACGGAAGCGCTTTGAACACAATGGCAAAAGCGAATGCATAAAAGATCAAATACATTGGGTGCGGTGGTGGTGTTGGGCGGTGGTTTACGAGAACTAAATTTTATGGACTTTCGGAGCTAATGGGTTGCTCTGGTTTGCTACTGTATTTTGTTCACTTAGGTGGACCTCTTTTTAGTTTATGCTTTTACCGTTTACTCTCTCGTACATTAGGCCTCTTTCTTATGTTAAAATGTACGAATCTCCTGGAATGAGAAAACTCTACGATAATGAACAATTGTACTATGAACATTTTGCCATCAATTATTCCAACCTTCAAGTTGAGAGAAATTCATGACTTTGAATATCAAGAATTATGTTTGAAAACTTCGCACCAAATCTTCCGGTGCATCGCCAGAATCATACATCACCGACACGGCTTCCCGAAAGCCTATTATCATGCCTTTATGGATTTCATTCGAAACTACAGTCATAGTATAGTATGCTAGCTAATCTTCCAGCCATCCAGCTTTCCAGCTACGTACGCTGCCATCCATCACAATCTCCAACAACTATCTTAATTCCATCCTCGAACTTCAAACCCCGATTCTCGATACTGTATGTAGTTATTACTTTTTTTTAGAATTGGGGGAATCCTTTTAAAAAAATAAAAAAATAAATTATATAAGGAAGGTAGTGTGTGTGCGTGGACTGGATTGGGGAGGGAGAGGGGAGGGAGTGGGAAGGGAGTATTTGTGTTTGTTATTTATGTAGGGGTGTTTTTTATGGTTTTTTGGGGGTTTATGTTTAAATGTGGATGGATGGGATAGTAGGTAGTGTGAGACTGTGTGTATGAGTGAGTTTATGACGGACGACGGTATTCGGGGGATGTTTGGAATTTTTAGGGTTTGGTGGGAGAGGGTTTGGGGTGAGGGTTTTGGAGAGGGTTTGGTGGGATGGGTGGGATGGGTTGTGTGTGTGTGGTGTGTTTGGGTGGAAGTGATATGCCGGTGGAGATGAAAGGAAAGTATGTGATGTTGTTTTATGTGTGGATTGCGGGTTGGAGGGTTAGAGGGCTTGGGGTTTGGGGTTTGTTTGAATGGTTGACTGGTTGGCTTCTTGTATGTATCATGATGTGATGGAGTGAGTGAGTGTAGTGTATTGTGGTGTATTGTAGTGTAGTGTAGTGTACGGACTCGGTGGTGGGGAGGGGTGGGGAGGGGGGTATTTTGATCTGGATTTGGGTTAGAGATCCACACGGTGTTATTTGCACTGTATAGTGGAACTCTTCCAATATACTCGAGTATAAACCAAGCCCAAACCCAAACTCATCAGAATCCCAAAGCTATGTATGCATCAAGCAAGCCCCTTTCGCTTACCTGACTGACCATTCATTGTAACACTTGTACTTGAGTACTATGTAGTTAGTTATATCTACATACATTTCCAGTCTTTCAATTCTACATGATGGATGCATGGATGCATGGATTCTGATAATAAGTGAATGAATGAATAAATAAAAGGAGCGTTTCTACTCGATGCGGAGTATGCTAGGTATCATGTATCAAGGATAGAGATGCCTACTACGGTATTGGATTCTAATTGTAAGTTTTACAATAATGGATGTTGGGTTTTTGAAAGCGATGGCGATTATGGGGTCGTGTGGAGAATGGAGAGAGCCAGGATGTTTACGAAAGACACAGTTCAGCCTGAGCAAACCACCACGACTGGACGTCTTGCACGCTGTAGGTAATGAACCCAATTCAAGCACTAGATGTCCTTGGGATACAAATGAGACTGACTTCTCAATGCATTGACTGCAACTCGAACTGTGAATGCAGAACCTAAAGTCCAACATGGAAGAAAAATGTAACACACTTCATTTATGTGCACAGTATGCCGAAGCTCTACTAAGTTGATCTCCAACGAAACATCACACGATTGTAGAAATTCGACAATGGAAGATTGCATCATTAGTCAATGAGGTCATATTTATCTAAGCAATGCTTTTGCATTGAAAGCTGGCTAAGATAAAATGCATCCCGAAAACCAGTCAATAACTCCCGATTCCCAACCAAAAGCACTCTAAGCCTTAGCGGCGGCTTGGTTTGGGTTGACCTTCTTTCCGTCCTTGTTGTATCTAACACGGGGAGGTGGGGCACGGTTGCGGCGTCCAACACGGGATCGGACTCTGTAAAAGAGATAATCAGCCCAAATGTTCATGTAGGGTCCAACTTACTGGAAGTTCGACCAAGGGATCATCTCATAGCATGAACATACCGGACAATTTTGCCATGAATGGCGCAAGAGACACAGTATTGCAATTTGAGGTACATCTTGGGAACTGTGTACTCAGAGAAGACAGATGCCTCTGAGATATCACCTATATCACAACCATATTAGCGCCTGTTCCAAAGAAAGTCCTTAAATTCCATCTGCCAAATCTCTTTGCAATCCACGTATTTTGCCAAAAGATGAAATGTCGGGGGTATTGAAAACATACGGATGGCAGCGGACTCAACCATGTTACGGATGGTAAATCTCTTTATCGCCTTGTCCTTTGGTGTGCATCGGGAGCAGTTGGAGCATCTGATGGGCTTAACGTGACCACGACCCTTCTTGTTACGTCCACTATAGAATCAATCAGTCTCCTTGTCCCAAATATATCATGCTTGCCGATTAAATTATATCGCTTTTTTCGAGGGTGTTGAAATAAATGCTGGGAGAGTGGGTGGGAAATCGTACTTGGACGCGCGCTTTTTGACCATTTTTGCGGATTCTAAAATAATTTGTTAGAATTGTCCAGCGTTCAATCCAAAGATATCTGCGAACTTACTGAATTGGCGAGTGATTCAAATCGTTGGTTGATGGGTTGGCGATTGTCGTTGATTGAAATCCGTATATCAAACATCTTGAATATTCCAGTTGTGTGATCTGTAAGCGAGAACCCTAGCGTCAAGCTAGCGCACAATCAATTTCTCAAAATTGCCTATCGATTATCTCGAACTTTTTCCTTTTGAACCCAGCAAGACCACTTAGGAAGACAATCTGAAAAATTGTCCAGGTATGTTATCATATTCTAAATGGTTAACATGATAAAATTCTAACATCTCTTAAAGGCAGTCATGCAGATCTTCGTCAAGACCCTTACGGGCAAAACCATCACCCTCGAGGTTGAGTCTTCGGACACCATCGACAATGTCAAGTCCAAGATCCAGGACAAGGAGGGAATTCCACCCGACCAACAGCGATTGATCTTCGCCGGAAAGCAACTCGAAGATGGCCGCACCCTTTCCGACTACAACATCCAAAAGGAGTCCACTCTTCACTTGGTGTTACGTCTCCGTGGTGGTGGCAAGAAGCGCAAGAAGAAGGTCTACAGCACCCCAAAGAAGATCAAGCACAAGCGCAAGAAGACCAAGCTCGCTGTATTGAAGTACTACAAGGTTGATGGTGATGGAAAGATCGAGCGTCTCCGCAGAGAGTGCCCAACTCCAGACGTAAGCTATTTCTCGATGAATGATGATTGCAAAACAGTGCTAATGTTCCTTCAGTGTGGTGCCGGTGTTTTCATGGCTTCCATGCACGACCGTCAATACTGTGGTCGTTGCCACCTTACCTACATCTTCGATGATGCCAACAAGTAAATTATCCGCAACGGACATTTGAATGTGGAGGAATAGTTTTTTGCATGCTACGATGTACTTTAGATATTACTCAATGCTACGCAGAAATTAAACCAAATACAACCAATATCTACAATACTTTGTAGTGAAATATGAATTTGAGACGGGTGAATATCTAGGGAACTCCAGCATAAGAGCTTGTTCACAACCTCTTGTGCAAAACATCCAGACGAAATCGTCCATCTTCATCGTGTCTGCTACGTGCTACGTTACATCAATTCAACCCAACCTCTGTCTCTCTTTGCCCCTTTGCCCACCTTTTCTCTTCTGAGTCTCAGTCTGTGTGCATGTCCTCACATCCATGCCTCAAGTCGCTTTCTAGGATGTAAATCACAACTAATATACTTCTACTAATCACCAGTATCATAAGAGAAGATAAAACAGTCATATATCACCACGAGTGACTACGTTCTCAATATCTCAATCTTATTGTAACACAGATGCCCTAATGGTCTTGATTGCAGAGTGATATACTAACTGTCGTGGAATGACGAAGGGTAGCCCCAGGACCGACATCTTCGCGCAACATGGCAACATGATGGGCATCTGTTATTAGGGGTGATTCATCAGATTCTTTTGGGGCAAGAAGAAATGATGATTAGAAGGAAATTGGGGTTGTCGGAAAACGTCCAGAGTCCATGTTTGTAATGCATGTAATGTAGTAAATCTGTGATATACACGAGTACTTACTGTATACATTGACTGTCCATACATTCCAGATCTGATGAACGAGTACCTAGGGAAGTTTGATACAGGATATGTAGTATGTAGAGTTCCTCAGTATATTTGTGAAATCTTCCGATTCCAAATAACATTACAATACTGATGATTTCCCCTTTTTGAAACCCTTAACGCCATCAATGAAGTCTATACTCAAAAACAAACGACGATATTGGCCCGCCCTAAATGGCGAGGCTAACTAAATCTGCACAATCAGCAAGGCAAGCAAAGTCCCGTCCGTATCTCTAGACTCGTGAAATTCCCACCCAGGCTACTCCACCCATAACTAGCTCTTACTTTTTCCTCTTTCCTCTGATCAATCTCTTCCTCTACCTCCCCAAATACTCGCACACACTCTCACACACCCTACCCAACAATTCTCTTCATCTCCTCCTCTCCCCACACCTCAGTCCCCTGTTTCAAAGCATGCACCAAAATCTGCAACGCATTCTCATTAAAATCATCCGCCTCACGAATCTTATCCAAATCCTCCGAGAACTCCGTCGTGGCGCGCTGAAGATAATGCGCGGTAAATTTTTCAACGAGTGCTGAATCTTTCACGAGATATGGTTTCTGAGGATATGTTAATGAGGCTAGAGAATAGAAGAGAAGAGAAGAGAAAGAGAGGAGAGGTTACAGATAGGACTTTGGCTGAGGATTTTGACACCTTGGGCTCAGAGGATTTGGTGGCGGTGAGTTTGGCTTTTTGCTTGGAAGACTGGGATTTTAGGCCACTGTCGCTTTCGCTGTCGGAAATGGATGTTACTATATTAATATTAGTATTTTGTATAAAGAGTTTGATCAATATATGGGGATATACATACCTAGAGTTCTCGACTGGCTCTTCTTACGACGTTTGGGTTTCAAGGCTTTGGCGATTTTGGGATCCATGTTTGAAGGTACAGAAGGGTTATGTTATTGTAGAAAAAGACGGTCACTTTGAGATTCGAGATTCGAGATATAGGATGGCTAGAATAGAAAAGGCTCAATGTATTGCACGTGAAAAGCTCGTGAGAAAATATTTTGGTGGGGCGCGAGAGGAGATTGCAAGGGGCTGGCAAATCAAAACTCCGTACCACCTACTCGAGGAGTAAATACTACAACTACACGCCTTCTTGAAGGATTATGTTATACCATTACAAAACATGCAAATTTGGATATCTACTGTAGTAGTAAAAACAACACAAGTGGTGGTGTTATGCCAGTGCATTTCTACCTGGTTCTGATCACGTTTACTGTAATATCGCAGTATTCGCCAGATGCGTTTTCTAGGCGGCACAAACCAAGCGGTCTCTGATAGAATTTCATCAATGAATCCCAATCAATAATGTATATGATAGCATACTGTAGCAGTCTATTGCTTATCATCGGGTTCATCAGGCCTGCTGAACGTGATTAGTACGGCATCCCTATGATATATGGTCGCTGATCTGATATCAAATAACCATCTGTATTTTCAGTAAGTTCTGGGTAGGGATAGCATTTATATTGGAGATGATGGATTGCCTATACTAGTGTTTCATTATTCGTCACGTTGGGCTTACGTATCTATAGCTTGGATCTTTGATGATAATACTTACCGGGAGTTCTTCATCCTCATCGGAGGCTACTTATGTAAATGTTATTCATCCAATAACCAAGCTGGGGCTCAACAAGAGTTTGATGCTTGCTTTCAGGATACATTCTTTTATTCTTCAAAATATCATACCCTGGGTTCTGTCAAGTATTTTTGCCGCCGAAGTATTAATCACGTCAAAATATCAGTTCCCGGTGAGCCTCATAGAGACTTCTCGTCCCCGGTGAGCTTTCTTGTCCTACTCCCAGTGACAATGACGCTACGAAATATCTCTATTTTACAAATCATGACTCTACCCTAAACATTGAGATCAGAGTCATCGTTAACCATTGATTGATGTAACAAAGGCCAAGTCGATTATAATTCGATGATTAAGTTGAGTGCAGGGACGGTAGTAAGAGTATGGGGTGAAGGGATGATATGCTCTCTATGCTTCCATGTTAAATGTTAAAATGCATTTTGGCCATTTAGAATGGTAGCACATCAGTGTCGAGTAACCAAGTCTTGAATTTACAACACACTGCAATTCATATTGAAGACTGCAGTAGACACCTAACCACGCCATATGTTCGAATTTCTCTGGTGATGATCTCAATATGAAAAAGGCATGCTAATTTTCAAAGCTTTCACTCGAGAGCTCGAGATAAATACAGTATATTGTATCACAGTCCTCTGGTAGGTAGTGAGACCTCCAAGTATCCTCCTTGAGTAAGTGAACTTTTCTATCTTCATTGTATCTTTGTCTTGGGCTGAAAGTATATCTAAGCTGATTCTAAAGAAACTCAAGTCGCTTAAACATGCACTTGGAGGAGAATCCCCACAGTCTACTTCCATCATTCCATCCATTTCTATAGGGTATCCCTTCCAGCTCCACAAAACACTCGACGACGGAAATGCGATATCGAAAGAGATACGTTACAGCTGTGGAGATCATACATTACAGGACCTGGCATCAAGACGATATGAACTGTGAGCTTGATCTTCTAAACACATCTTGTGTGTGCAAATTTTCAGTGTATATCTAGGCTATTAACATAAAATCATAACGCCAGAATACTAATCTATATTCCCAAGCCAAAATGAGGTCTAATATTCTTTCCATGGCTCGAGAACTACCTAGTGTCAGAAGGCATAGAAAATTTATACTATTTATTCCTATGCATTGAAAGTTTTAGAGTTGTAACTTCGCCGTATCATATATGCATATCTCTATTTCTTTTCGGATAAAGATGATACTATACGTACTTGATTTCTCGTGTCCTTTCTTATACGATAGATCCATCGAGTAGATTTTACCCGAGTAGTATATATACCATTGTAAACAATCCCGGATAACGAATGCTTTAGATCATGGATAATTTGATGATATCCACATGAGTCATCTTGATTCCTTCCCCCTCTCCTTCTCCTTATTCTTCTCCGTCTTTTTCTCCCTCTCTTTCCCCGAGACTCAAGTCTACCCAATTACCAATAGAATGCCAAAGTAATACATACATATACTTCCAAACACAATTCAATACAACACACTTCAAATCCATCCCCTCCCAATAACATTAAACTCAATACTCACCACCCTTCCATCACCCACTCACTACCTACCCGCATATTCCCACTTCCACACCTTCACCGTCCTCACCGTCCTCATCATCCTCTACATCCTCTACATACATCTTCAACATCTACAGAATCCTTCTGAGTATCATCCAAACCCCAAATTCAAACCACAAATCCAAATCCCAAATCCCAAATCCCAAACTTAAAATCATCCATCCAACTACCCAACCCTCACCCTTCATCAAAAATACCCCAATCCAATCCAATCTAATCCAACCCACAGATCGTTATCAAATACTGCCCACCCACCCATCCATCCACCTATTTACCCACCAATCCCATTCCCATCATGGGAAACAACACACGCACACACACACATTCACACACAAGCCAAGCCATACTATACCATTACATCCCCCCCCCCCAATCCCAATCTTAAAAACATGTATCCAAATAAGATACTTCACAAGTAGTACTCTACAGTCAAATAAATATAATCAATCAATACATACATACATACAGCCAGCCAAAAACTACAAAGTAAGAATTAAGACCAGCAAACGAGAAGTTACAAACACACTTACTTACCTATCTATCCACCTATGAGTCAGGTTATATATATATATAATTCAGCATCAACCACCAATCACTTACTTCCCCTTAACTTTCTACTGAGTATAATATAATCGAATTCCTTCTCCCTTCTTTTTCTAATACTATGTGAATTTGGTGTGGATATACAAGTAACTACTCGAGTATATGGGAATGAGAATGGGAATGGCAATGAGAATGAATGGTATATGATATAAATCCCTACTACTCGAGTATGATCATTCCTATCATCTTCGTACATAAACATAAACGCATCAAAACACACAAGCCTCATCTCAACCCAACCCAACCCAACCCAACCCAACCCCAAGAAATTCCGTATCTATTTCTTTCTTTCCTATCTCAAGATCCAAGTGCCATTTCTATTTCTATTTCTATATCTATATCTATATATATCTATCTATACATGCATACATGCACACTGATCGTCACCTATACCCATATCTACATCTACATGTACAACCGCTTTCACTCCCTCCTTTTTACTCCCTCTCACTTCCTCTCCCCTCTTTCCCTCTTTCCCTATTCCCCAAAAACACTATTTTTAATATCCATCTATCTATCTGTCTATTCATTTATTTATCTATTTATCTAAACCAAAGCTCCCAACATCCAACCCCAAAGCCCCCCAACCCCTGACCTCTCCCCTCCACCCTCCATCCTCTATCACTAGACTCTACTCTACACCAAATCACCCATTCAACTTATCCACTTACCCACAAACTCAACAATCCCAACAAAGCCTCCAGTCCAAAGTCCAAACGAATCAATACTCTCTCTACTACATCATTCCCACTTCCACTTCCATCCTCCATCCTCCATCCTCCATCCTCCATTCTCCATTCTCACAATATACTTACTACCTATCATCCAAATTCCAAATTCAAAGTTCGAAGTTCAAATAACCATAACATACATGTCCTTTAATCACTACCACTACATACTTACATACCAACCCCCTTTCCTCTCTCCCTCTCCCCTCCCACCTTTCCCTTTTCCTCTCCCTTCTCCCCTTTCCCCTTTCCTTCCCCCCACCAACTAACCACCCTTTCCCCTCTCTCTTCTCCCCTTCCCCCTTTCCCTTCTCCCCTCTCCCCTCTCCCCTTTCCCATTTCCCATTTCTCCTCTCCCCTCTCCCCTCCTCTCCCCTCTCCCCTTTCCCATTTCCCATTTCTCCTCTCCCCTCTCCCCTCCTCTCCCCTCTCCCATCAACTAACTCCCCTTTCCCCTTTCCCCCACCAATCAATCACCCATATACACAAAACATAAATAAGAAAAGCCGCCTTTGCTGAGTCTTTGTATCAAATGTATCAAAAGAAAAATTGGTGCGTGCACAAATGGTATATATGTATGTAATATGTAATATGTAACATATATGTATTGTATATATGTATATATGCCCCAACCAGCGCAATATTCAAATTATTCCTCTATTCTCCTCTCCTTTCCTCTTTTCTCTGCTCCGCTCCTCTCCTCTATTCTATTCTCCTCTCTCCTCTCTCCTCTGCACTCCTCCCTCCTATTCTCACATCTTCTCACATGCATACTTTCTTTCTTACATTTCCTATTATATCATAAAACATCTATCTAAATGTATGCACCAAGAAGACACCAAAAAAGAAAAAAAGAAAAAAAAAGAGGCAAACTTCATGGATAAGTAGTAGTAAAATAACGATATGATATCCATCCACACCAACCACCGTCCGTCTCCAATTTTCTCTTTCCCTTTCCCGCGTCATTTATGTATGTATGTATGTATGCATCATCATATATCAACAAAGGTTTCTATCTTTAAAAAAAAAGAGAAGAAAAAAGAATCAGAAACATATTACATTTTCCTCATTCCTTCCTCATGAGGAGTGTGCGTCTTTCGACAAGATCTCTAAGCACCCGTGAATTCATTCTCTTTCAAATCCCATTCTCCCTGCTGTAACATACGTAAAACATCCTTTCCATCAGTAGTCAAATCAGGTTTACCTAATGGTGTGACAGATCCTGTGAAGAATCTCGGCTGCCATTCAACCCCTTGATCCTGTCGTTGTTTGAGCTTTTCTCTTTGCCTCTCTTCTAATTCTTGTTTGAGGGCCGTGGCTCGGGAAAATTGTCGAGAGTGGATGGCTTCTGTGACACCTGACCAGAATTTGAGGGATTCATTGGGTAACTGCTTTTCTGTTGGGGGGATGATCTTGGTTGCTACCTGGAGAGGCCCGAGATCTATTAAAAGAATTTGATCGTTCTGGTAACACTAAATTAGTAATTGTCGTCTGAATGCATGATTTGACACTTACGCCTTTCGGTCCCAAAGTAAAGTACAGCTTGTCTTTCCAGTTTCCAGATACTCTTGCCAATACATCCTTATCAGGGACATCTTTTATCCGGGTTTTAGTATCATTGTCTGGATCGTAGCGGAACACTACCCCCTCCACTTTGTTTTGTGTCCTTCCTAACCACCCTTCTTCCACATAATGTAGGATCGTCTTTATCTTCGTCTGTGTGCAAGTGATGTAGCACTGGTCCCCAACAGTTACACTCAAAGTCCCACGTAAAAGTCCCCCAAGATGGGCAGCTGGATGTGTGAGCTGATATTGCTCATCATTCCTCCTCTGAATATTAATGAAAATACCCAGATTGTGTTCCCCTGGTGTAACTTTAATACTCGTTCCCGTAAACTTCGCCGAGATTTGATCGAATCCTCTGGCGGAAATACCCTTCTCCGGACAATCGACGTAGAAAGCGGAGACAGGTGGATGATGCGAGGTTTGTTCCGTCAAAAAAGATACTCGAACTTTTTTACCCGCCGATCTCGGTTTAGGAATCGTAACATTGGACGCATTCTTCGATGACATAGGAGTAGCTTTCTTCGAAGACGAAGCACTGGTAGAAGCCAATTTGCCCGTATCTATAGCGGGTTGTGAATCCTCAACTTCCCAATTACACTATTTAGAGATCAGCATTCCCCACTTCAACCTGGCCATTTGGATGCAGTTGCTTACCCTAAAAAATTCCCCAAGGGTAGAATTGTATGGCTTGCAAGGCTTTCCTTTCACATATTTCAAATCTTTCGTAAACCAAAATCTCATAACTTCTAGAGTTCTGTCTAACGGATCGTCCGAGTCTCCTATTGCCACAAATGTATTCGGTTGATCGAGGTAGTTCCAATACTCGAGATTGGGTGTGGGTTCTAATAACTGAGCCGGCAAACTAAATCGAACGGAAGCAATATCTGCCACTCCAATAAACCTATACAAAAGGAGAAAAGAACGTCAGTCAACATCATCCGAAATCTAAATACCACAGCGAAAGGTGTACATGTTGCCCGAGAGGCTGAGACCACAGTTCGTCGCATTGCCACTTGTAGAAAGCGGTGTGATCTCTCTTCACCATTCCAAGGAAAGATGCGCAAAAAATAGAGTTACTCACTTTCGCAGAATCCCCAAAAACATCTTAAGTTTCGAGCCATCATCTGGTGGTTTTTCCGCTACAGCGGAAGGCGTAGGTAATGACTCGGAAGCGGTTGAAGGGGCTGTTGAAGCAGCAGGTGAAGGGTTAAAAGCAGAGGATCCCGAGGAAGCGGATGCCATATTTGAAGAAGAAGCAGACTAAATAATAATTAAAGGTCTTGTATGTGGTAGGACGAGCAAGAGTCGAAAGGAGAGGTGGAAATGATTTCAAATTTTGGTGTTTGAGGTTGGTTGGTTGGTTGTACGGAGGTTAACGCAGGGCAGATGCCTTATGAAAACGAAGAAATCCTTTGGGTACGGGAGTGACGTTAGGGGCCAACGATAAGGAGCCGATAGGGTAAATGATTTGTTACATGTGCATCGTATAAAAACAATTACTGGTGCGTTCGAATTTCGATTTTGAAGATTATAAATTTCTGGTTAAGGATAGAGAATTTGAGAATTATCAAGAAGATACATAATGGGACTCGAATGTTTATTGTTTATTGTCTATTGAGCAGATACAATAAACGTGCGAAAATGAAACCAAATTATCGGATATATCAAACCCAAAGTATGTTTCCCATACAACCATAACTCCCGCTCGGCTATTACTTGTAATCAACCTCAGTTTCTGCCGCGTGGAACTATATATTAACGACTCGACTCGACTCGATTGTATAAATATCTATTCAAATTCTAGTTAATCATATCTACATCTCGAGAACATGAACAGTAAATCAATATCGATTACAGGACTACGTTTTTCATCCACATAATCATTATTCCCATATACCTCCTACCTACAGCCGTTAATATCC